TCATTTGGAGGGGCGATGGCTTGCCAATTGTCTGTCGTTACGCTTTGAAAGAATGTTCTCCCTCACCACTGCGTAACTTGCGATGCACCCTCCCAAACAGGATTGGCTGTTCGTCAAATTTCATTGGTCATTACGGCTCGAGGTCCCGCTCGTCGCAATCGTCGCAATCAAATGGGCGCAGCGATGGGCCACAACGCAGGACAAGTCAAGCCGTTTGGTTCGCTTTCTGGGGCAAATTTAATGCACGCTGTGCTCAAATGCACTTGCCGTGCTTGTTTGCAGAAGCAGCCAGGGCTCAGCTTATCTTGTAACCAAGCCAAGAAGAGCCACGAGCAAGTATCGGGCTCTCATCAAATACCAGAATTTGCCTCTTTTTTCGCCCATCAGAACTCACTTTCAGAACGGCAGACTGAACTCACATTTCACACAAGCCCAACACGCTGCCCCACAACACCGACCCGTAGCATCGACCCAAGGTACCGACCATCAGCTCCACCTCATAGCACCCACTCGCGACCAAAAAATTTAGTAAGGTTGAAGCTGATTATTGGCCACCCGTCCTCCCGCCATCTCAATCAGCTGATTGACCAGCAGGTCAATGTGCACACGAGTCTGCCAGCACATGGCCAGTTGCTTGCACAACATGGCAGCTGCGGCTGTCTTGGTGTGTCAGACTTTCATCCCTTTAAACTGGCTCTTTATTCTGCATTCACTTTCTTCATCGAGTTTCACTGCACATCAGTCTTCAGCCTCCAAACTCTAGTAATGTGAATTGGAAAGCTGCAAGTGAAACATCAAGAAACAGCAACAACCATTCAATTGTAATGTCGATGGCACCCCTGAAAGGAAATTCTCAGATGCAATCATTTAATTTCAATCATCGGATTACGAACCTGTAATTGACGGAGCCAGCTTAGTGGTCAATCATCAGTAAGTCGAACACCGTTACAATATTGTAACGGCCAATCCGGCTGGGGAGGGCGCCAACCGGATTAAATCTGTGGACACACATTAAGTCCCTTCGGCTTTGAGATCTCCTTTGAATTTTTTTGCTCTTGCGCATCTCTGAGTTTCTCAACTCGACGTCGCCAGGGCTCCAAGTGGCCAAATGTGGCTGTACCTGAAGTGAACGTTCATCATTTGTTGCCAAATTGTATCCGCACCTCGAAGATGCGCCGTACCGCTGCACAGATTGTTGGCACCTGGCCGTGCCGTCCCCCTTGACGGATAAGAGTTTTAACACCTGATGCTAGAAGAATCTTGCAATTTGTTCGCCAGATCGGTCTCCAAGAATGTTCTTCACCATTTACGTCCTGCCAAACAGCGCATAAGCATCCAAGAGGTGCCAGCATAAAAATTGCGCTGCTTTCTTTTGTGTGACCTGACAACGCGCACCAGTGGAAAGCGACATTCTTGCGATGCCAAGTGCGATACCATTTGACACTAATTGATGCCATCGCACCCACTGCCGCGCCATCGCAATCAATGAGATGGCATCACTTTGTGTCAAAATGGCATCACAGTTAGCATCACAAAGATGGTGTTGTCTGATAGTGGCGAGCAATAAACTGCTATGAGCTCTTTTGCTTCTGCGGGCTCTCCAGTGGGCAAATGCAGGACAGGCCGCCGCAACGGCATGGGACTGGCGCCCACAAACAGCGCATGTAACAAGTAACCAGATTTCCATCGGCATGGTGGCATCCCCCTGAGCTCCCGAAAAACGCTTTTGTGAAGTGCTGCGTACATTCTGACACTTTCCAGGCATCGTGCTTTCCAGCTCCTCGTACATTGGCCTCCCTAACAATAAGGTCCTCCCGCCTATGTCGTTTCCAATTGCCCTGTCACGAGGCCCCGGCTGGTTTACAGTTTCCTGTCAAATCGATGGAGGTTAAGTGGTCGCAATGGTCACAGTAGCGCATTGTGGACGATCGCGAAGTGAATGGTGTCACTGTGCTATTCCAGACGAGCAGTGCCGTTGAGCAGTTCATAGTCGTCACTGGTTGCGATGTCTATGCACTTTAGTTCATTTTCCTCCTGTTGGCGCGAAGCAGGAGATCTGTCAGTGGAATCTGTCTTCAGCATGGCACATGCGCATCTGCACCTTCGTCAATAGCACGTGGACACTCCCACCGCACCCTCACTGGAATGTGATGAGAGGATCTCAGATGGATTGCAAAACAGCCTCCCTGCCAGCGCCGTCTCTGGAAAATACCACAAAACCGAGCTGTGCGCTGCATCTTTCCAGCTGTTCTGTCCTTCCATATCGCAGGCGGAAGCAAACTGCATTGCAGTCGACAAAGCTGCAGGTGCAATAGCTGTGAAATGCATTGTCGAAGTTCTCTTGGCACAACTCACTGTGCACATTTCGAATTCCGGCAGCGCTGGTTGCCGTGCGCTTTCAAGTTCGCTCACGTGAGCGAACTTGAAAGCGCACGGCAACCAGCGCTGCCGGAATTCGAAATAGAACATTCATCTGTACACAACAAAGCTTTTAATTGACATCAGGCACCGCTTTTGCCATTCGACAACCAAAAAGAATATAAGCGGAGTCTTCAGTCTTTCGGAGTCCGAGGTATTCATGCCTACTTCAAGAATGCTCAAATGCGAATCTCGCTGCTCCCTCACACCGGAATCGCAGCCCTTGATCTATATGGCTGCTACGCCGATGAAAGCAAATGGCCTATGTCATGTCACAGCATTTTGGCAATACTTGCGCATGCGCTACGGTATTCAGCCTTTTCATGTTGTCAGTGGTGCGCACTATGTGTGAGAGGTGACTTTTCAGGTAATAGTCTTCCGTTGGCCTTGGGTGAGCTCTTTCGATGTGCAATTGAGGCAAATATCTATCAAGCACACAATGAAAAACATGATGAAATAGGCCACTCTGGGGCCGCCACTGCCAACGCTGATCAAACAGCACCCACCCATCATGCACCGTGGTCATGCCAAAATCTTGCCAATCATAGCGGCTGTGCAAGAAGTGCCTGGGGCAGACTGAAACAAGCTGAAATCAACTCGATGCCAAGAACTGAACCTGCAGCTGTGGCTGCATCATATGCAGTGATGTGGACCACCACAGTCAGTGCTGATCCATTATTACTTCTCCCTAGCACTAAGCTTGAGAATTGTTCCGGCCAAATACTAACAGCATTTCATACGAAATTTCGGTGATGGCCAGTGAGGAAGCCATTTGTGGTGCCTCTGGCCTCAGGGAGGCCAGCAACAGACCCAATGGCCAACAGATGCAGCACTAGGTGCTTTGGAATGTCTCCCTAACAAGAGTAATTTGAACCACCCATAGTGCATTTGTGCACAAGAGAATGACCTCAGAGATGACAATGGTTGGCAGTTTGTCCATGGAATTAACTTTCAACACATCTGTTTGCCGCTTTTAATTAGATGTCCATTCAATCACAATTGCATCCAAAGGTGCCGTGGTGTAGTGATGGGTCGAGCGTGCAAGATGTGGTGGATGCAACTTCTGTGCTTCACTGTTACCACCCAACAACTCCTCGGTTGCGCCTGTGAGTGGATTGGCATCAAACTGAAAACTCAGACGTGCTTGAAGGCCAACCACTCTCATTTGCGAGGTTGTTCAAATGTGGGACAGTTCGTCCTGGTCTTGGGTCCCTTCTGAAACAACTGCTTCTGCAGCTTCCATATCTGTTCGACACTGCGTCATCGTAGCCGCCATGGAACAGCGTTCTTGACGAGGAGTGGGGGTTGCTCATTGCGCTAAATATCTCCTTTGTGCCAAAGGTGCTTCCAGTCTGCCAACCATCGTCGGACTAAGTGTGAAGGGTGGTGGATGCGGCAATAGGTATCTCCCTATCGAATGCCGGGATAACGGGCCACCGCTGCAGCAGAACATCTGCTGCCACGGGGTTTTGGGGCACCACGTCTGCCTGACAGACAGGTACCAGCTGGTCCTGAATGTCAATACCAAGCAGCACTCGACGTGCCTCCCACCACAAGGTCCAAGACGGCCCGCCTCTGCATTCCTCAGCCCCTGGCTAGGAGCGCACACCATAATGAGGGTGGCGCGACCAGCGGATAGGTTACAGCGTACAAGTACGCAACGGTACACTGTTGTACCCAAACAATCCAAAGGGTTGTTCATGGGGGCCACCTCGCCCGACATGCCCCTCCTGCGCCCACAGCCGCGCGTCGTCCTGTCAGATGCGAGCAGTGCCCCGCTGAGGCGCAGGACGCAGGAACGATGGAGATGGGCAAGCCCGCAACAACGCAGTGCAGAATCTCACCAGCGAGGGCGAAAAAACAGCCCGCAATCTCCACACTCCAATTAGGAAGTGCTCTGCCCCGGCAGCAAAACCGGCCATTCGCGGACTGGCCAAGAACCCAAGGGGAAGGACACAAGCCCTCGCCCGTTTCAGCCTCGCTGTCCCAAGACTCCTCCCAACGACGGTCTCCGTGGGGCGTCCCACCCACCGCGCGACAGCTCGGGCCACCCCGACCCACCAGGCCGCCCGTCGCCGCCTCGCCTTGACCCCATTCCACCCCTCCTCGGCTCCCCAACCTCTCCAGCCTTCGGAGTCTCCCGCGAACAAGTCAAGGGTCAGAAAAGAGAGTCCGAGACGCTTCTCTTCCCAGGTGACCCCTCCAGCGATTGCTTGGCCGCCCCCTCCTTCTTGAATGGGTCGGAAGAGCCCCACCCATAGTGAAAGGGCACCTGCCGCGCCTCCCCTCTAAGCAATCGGCACTGGCCTCAAGGAGGGACGGATTCAACCCCGTGCCAACATGCGCATGCGCGCTTTCTTGCGAGAAGGGCGACAAACTCCTTCCAATGTCTCCATCCCGCGCAATCACACACACCCCGAACTCCCACCCCACCCCCGGCCACCGTACCCCAAGGTTTCTTTGAAATTGAGTCTCATGCACGCTGCCCACGAAGTGGTGCCCATTGCATGACCCGTTTCCCTTCTCCTTGAATCAAATTTGCATCCAATCGTGCCCGCAGATTCCGCCTCCAGCCCACAGCCATGGCCCTCCTGCCCCTCCTGGCCCTCTCCCTGCTGTCCTCTGCCGCCGCCCACCCACCCCCGGACCCCGTCTGCGCCCAGCTCAACCTCCCGCAGTCCTACTGCACCCGCTACCGGTCCCTCACGCCCGAGCAGCGCGCATCCGAGATCGCCGCCTTCCACGATCGCATCAAAACCTTCGCCGCGCTGATGGAGTCAACGCCGCGGCTGGCCCTCCCCGCCGAGGACGATTCTCTCGAAGCCGACGGCGATTGCGTCAACGGTTGCATCGATGTCGTGATCGAGGCGGGCAGTGGGAAGGGGGGTGGGTGGTCGTTGTGGCGGGCCTGGGTGTGGGCGATGGCGATGATTGTCGTGAGGGCGGCCGCTGTGGCGTGGACGGCCGTGTGGCGGGTGGTGGCGGTGTTCTGCGCGACGTGCTCGGCAAGGGAGGTGGGGGTGTGGGAGGCGTGCTCAGCGGTTTGTCGCTAACAACCGGGCCAGTACATTGAGACGGTAGTGCTTTTTTTTTTGGTACATATTTTTTGTTCATTTTCCCTGCGTTGGGGATGGATGTGCGCCGAAATCCAATAATTTTTGTGGGAATATTGACGGATATTTTTGGGCGGAGTGTTTGGTCGGTGGGTGCTGTTGTCCATGCGGTGCCGTTCTTCGTCTGGTTGGCAGAGCGTGTCAAACAGTCATCATCAAGTGTGTAGGAACATAGTACATTGGGGTCCTGGCGAGGTCAGCGTCGCTGGGCCCTGGGTTGCTTGCTGTCCACAAAGCTGGCGCGGATTTCGCAGAAGAAGACAGGCAGGTGGAGAAAAAAGGAAGGAAAGATGAGGGGTGAGGATGGGAGGCACGCGGAAGGACGGCTGGGGAAAGGGAAGTCAGGCGGGCTCGTTGGGGTTGCTTTGGTTCTAGAGTGGGTTCGTAGGTCCTTTTTAGGTCATTTTGTTGTGTAGTGGGCTGCAGGAGGTCCTCTCAAGGCAGGCAACCATGGTGTAATGTTCTGAACCAATATGCATGTTGATGTTTTATGTTACTGGCAACGCACGTTTTCTGACAAACGGTTGACTCCTTTGTTCCCATAATGTCTGGTAGTCGCGGCATACCCGCCCCTGCCCCCCCTCTGACAGCACGACGGGGAGCTGAGCAGTCTGGCGGCACCTGTTGGGCCTACGCGACGGTGGCGTTGCGGTTGCTGAGCATTGTACGCACCTCTCGTCATGCGGGCCCACTGGAGCCCATGGCTGTCGCTATTCATGCCGCATACCGCTGCGCGCTCTCAACCTGTCTTTGAGACTTTTGCAGCATCTGTTGCAGCGTAGAAGAGCCTCGCCACTTTTGGTCCAGAGCTGGGTGCCCTTTGCATCACATGCCTTCTTCCCGCATGCGTGTTGGGGCCTGAGCAGGGTATCTTCTGAGGAGGCATTGAAGAGGGTGACAGGCAGCACACGTCCCTGGCGCAGTTGTGCTGTGCGGATATAACGTGAATCTGTGAGTGGTTGCTGCGTAAATCCGCTCGGCAGGCTTCCGTTGTTGTGCGGCTGGACGATTTCATGTGTCCCACCTGTGGTCTGGCAAAGTGCACTTGCCACACGGCTTCATTGCTTTGCCCTCTGTTCGCGGGGCATGATTAGCGGGAATGGGGAGGTAGTATCGTGGGCTCTTAGTAAGGAAGGGGTCGCGGGAGATTAGTGGGGAAGCTGGAGGGAGCTCCGGTAGAGACGAGAGAGTAAGTGGGCAAGGGACAGTTAAGGGTAGGGGCCCTAGGAACGCCGGCGGGCGGACGGGTCCAGGTAGGGTGGCATAGAGGTAGGACCAGGGGAAGTGGTACAGATTTGGGGACAAGGGAAGGGTTAGGAATTCACTAGGTGTTCGTGGGATTTCATTGGTGGCGGAACTAGGCCAGAATCATTCTGAGGATGTCAATAGCTGGTCAGCGACGGAGAATGTTGGCTGTCAAAGGGGCCACCTCCGAGGGGAGGTACACTTGAGACCATGCCTGTATAAAAAGGGCATCCCTTTAAGAAAAAAAAAACAAAAAACAGTTCCGTCCTTGTCGGTCTCTGGGCCCGAGGGCCAGACCCGTGGGTGCGACCTCCGCCGGGCATCCACAAGTGAGCTGGCCGCTGTGCTGCCCAATCGAAGGGCACCGGCATTACACCTGTGCACTCTTACAATGCGAGTTCGTCATTTTGCCAAGCGCTTGCTTGCCACACGCAAAGAATTTACAAATCACAAAATCCAAACTCTTAAAGCGTCGCCAGCACATTCGGTTGAAAAGCCAGTGTCTGCTGTCCAACCCTCAGCCATGCCATGATTCGAGGAGAGCCAAAGACACCGGACACAAAAAGGGCTAGCGTTCTCCCGATTCCACCATAAATAATCAATCCGGCCAAAAGTGCAACTGCTGGAAGAAAAGAAGCTCTGTTAGAAAAACATCCAAAAATAGAGCCGCCGTCCGCATCAGTAACGGCAGCACAAGAGACTCGAGTCTAAAACAGCCCCCGGCCAACAGACTGCATCCCAATCGACGGACGCGCAGGTCTCTCCAGTTATTGCATTAATAGTACAGCGACATAGAATTGCAGTCATCAATATTGGATACATTATTGTAAACAACACACTCCCCCCAACCCCCCGTCAAAAAGGATCTAATTAGCGCTTGCCAACGGCATGCCACCCAACCGGGAAATTCAACTGGGAAATTCAACTGGGAAATTCGACCGGGAAATTCAGGTGAGGTGCATGCTGGCCCCCAGGTTCCAATTGGGTGAAAAATGAAAAAAAATGTGTAATTCGTTGAATTTCAGAGGTAGCCTAATTTGCCCCTTTCATCACCACAGCGCTTGAAGTACCAAACACCGAGCAACAAGCGTAATGTGCTGTGGCCACCCGAAGCCTGCTAAAGTACAGCGCCACGCGCGTTTGACCAATTGACCGTGGTTGACACAGTCAAGCGCATCGCATTGACTCGTCGACCAGGTCAAACATCTGACGGCGGCTGCGACGGTCCGGAGCCGTCTCCCATGGCGCGATCGATCCGCGCCGCCAGGGCGTCGGTTCGCCTTTTCAAGTCCCGCTTCAGACCCGCCAGCTCCTCTGCAAGATGGCCCATGACCGTCTCCCTGCTCCGGCCCACCGCATCTCTAAGGAAGGCACAGCCGCAAAAGCAAGCAGAAGTTAGCACGTGCAAGTGACACTGCGCAAACGTGCACGAACGAAAGGAGCGCCATTTTGAAACATCCGTTGGACTATCGGCAGCGCCAATGAATACGCAAATGTTTACCATCTCCTTGCGAATCTTCTTGCCTTGTTGCCTTGACAAGTGACATATCTTCACTAGCCGATCCTGATCTTCCATCCATTTTTCGATGCACGGACAAATCGGGCACAGTTACCCAGTTCAGCCACAACGGCGAAAGACAAAAAACAGCGAGTTGCGCTCTGGTATGGGCACGGTTCGCACATCCGTTTGTTGGGCGTGTGCGACTCAGTGAATCTTCCAAAGGAGTTGCTGCAGGAGCGCACTTGAACACAATTGGACAATTGGCTCTGAAGGGCGCTGTGGCATCGCGGAAGACAACCACAGTGGAATGCTGAAATGGGATGGAAGAAGTTTGAAATACGTGCGAAGTGCCTAAAATGCCATCCTTGGACGCAGCACAGCTGCGAGGGCAAATATTCGCGCGAAACATGGATAGCGGCCCACACCCGGGGGAAAGGGCATTGGCGCGGCCCATAGACAACAAGGCAACTTGAGTCGACCATCCACACAACCATCGCAACCACCACCACCGACTCCGTGTTATACTTGCCAAACGAGCGCAAATTCGGGCCACAACACATTATCTGCATACTACATACCTACTGCATAAATACGTGGCATTGTACATGATCGCACATCTGGGTGCCGTGCTAATTCACGGTGCTTGAATGCTTCGTGATTCTAGCAACTTGCAGAATGGATTTGCCGTCCGAGATATAGAACGACTAGCTGCAACAAAGACACCGCTCGCCACTAACTTCGACGGACGTCGCCCGACAGGGGCAAGAAAACCCACGCCTCAAGCTTTCGACACATGCAGTCACAGATGACTTGCGCTACCCACTTAAATCGTCCCTCCAGTTCGGTGACCTTGCCCATCCACTTCCGTTGTCGGCCCTCCTTCCCCAAGGTGGGCGCATTTCTGGGCACAACGACATGCAGGAACTCGGACGTCGACGCCCTGCAGCACACACAGCACACACGGTTTGCAGTCCATTTCCAATGGCCTCATGTAGTTTAACTCTTGCCCAAAGAATCATTCTTCGGAACTAACAGCCACTGGGTTGTCATTGAGCAATTCTCCAGCCGCTCGTCCCAACCCCAACCCCACATCCCCTGTATGAACAGGAAGCTCATGGCAAACAGCCATGTCATCATTTTTGGGCCCAAATCCCGCATGGCACTGTTGGCACCTCAAGCAGGACCTGGGAGTCACTTATTGCATTTATTGCGTTTACATTTATATATTCACGCCGCGCGCGCTTGCTCCATATGCGTACTTCTACTAGAAGTATACTGCAACCAGAAACTGCAAGTGTGCGCTGCACTGCGGCGTGGTGCACATACTGCAGTGCGGCCTTCTGTTCGGCTGTTGCGGTGCTCTCCAAATCGTCGATCACTGACGCCCTGGCCTTCAGAAAGAATGTCTCCTCATTGTCCTTCACCCTACCACATTTGCATCCAACGCAGCTGACGTCAACCAACCAACACATCTGCATCCAATCTCCACTACCCCCAACCAAATTATGGCACGCAATACTGCCCATCTCTGTATTTCACTTCTAGGCAATTCGGACTGTTGCATTAATGGCGACCGTGTTTGCACAATCTGCAAACAGGCTTATGTGCAACATCACCCTGCACGGCACGAGCTGTGCTTCGCCTTTTACACACATATACTCTGAAAAGATTTACATTTCTACCCAGTGCATGACAGCTGGCTCATTGATGCAGTCTGACGTGGGTCTTGGATGCCCACAACATCGGCCCCGGAGCTGTCATTTGGGCTGAAGGCAACAGTGAGCCACAAACAGAGCTTGCAACATTCAGGCATCGATTATTCGCCAAATCGTCCTGCTGTAACATGGCTCCTCACTTTGAGCTGTGCCTTTTGGAAAAGAGCGCGTGGACACAGCAACTGCTGCATGTCACCTGGGGTGGTGAGATGGCGCCCTTTGCATCGAACAGGCAGCCAATCGCTGCAAGGGTGGTCATCACGCACAAGGAATCAGGAAGGATATAGTGTCTGTCAGTGGCACTCATCTTCCAAAAGAGGTTCCCTTAAAGGTCATGAACAGGGTGAAGGCATAAAAGACAGTGACTTTCCAATGCACAGCTTTCGTTGTTTTGCTGTGGGCTTCATTACTGCAAAGCGATCCACTGCTGAGCTTTGATGGCTATACGTGTAGCTGTACTACCCATGGAGCCAGTACAAGCCAGGCATTCCATGCAATGCTAAAACCTGCAGGGCACAGGCATCGTTGGCTTGTTGTGGGCTTTTATTATCGCAAGCCGATCCATTGCCGAGCTTTGTGCCATTGACGGCACGCGTAGCTGTACAATCCATGCAAATACAACACAGGCATTCCAGCAATGCTAAATGTAGCAGCACACAAATTCACAGACAACAATGCCAGGAATGTTTCCGGCAAGAGAAAGTCAGAAAATTGAGCCTCTGGCACCCACCTGTCAAAGGAGTCTCCCATCAGGGAGATAAGCAGATTCAGCAGCAGGACCATCATTGTCATCATGTATGTGACAAAGAGGAGCTGGGGAAAGACAATCGCCCTGGGCTTGTAGAACAGGTCGATGCTGAAGTCCCCCAGCATCATGCCAAACGTGGTCAACAACGACCTGTCGAAGGTGCCAAAGGCCTCCACCACGTCCTCGTCATCCAAGTTGTGACGAAATGTGACGAAGAAGGCCACGCCAAAGCCAAACTGGATCGCCAGAAACAATATTAGGAAGAACAGAATGTCTCTGATGATCTCGAAAATTGACACAACCAGGGGGCCAGTCTGCCTGAAGCTCTGCAGATAATAGAGAAGTTTCCAGTAGAGGACGATCGCCGTGACTGACACCAGAACAGATTCAATCTCAGGTCCGGCTCTGATCTCTGTTGCCTTGAAGTGAACGATGGGTATGACAAATGTGGTTGCGAATGAGGAGGCGAAGTCCAAGATGTTCCACTTCGAGTTGAGCCAGTAGGTAAGCCCTGACATGCCGTGGTCGCCTATGTTGGTGCGTATCTGGTTGATTTCCCAGGACAGATTCCAGCCACCCAGAATGGCGCATGGCAGCAAGAGACCTGCCTGCACAAGGCCAATCGCATCTGTGGAGATGATGTCACTCAGCTTCTCCGGTGTATCCCTGCCATGCCCGATCAGTAAGTCAGCAACTGAGTTCAACGACTACTGACTGCTGTGCACTTCACAGCTGAAGTCACTGTGGCCACAGTGCTGCAAAATGCAGCACAACTCCTGCAGAACTTGGAACAGTGTATGGCGGAACCAACCTCACGCAATAACAAAACTGTCTTGTTGTTTCCAGCCCAGATCAGGCTGCTGGCATACCTGTGCATTGGAAAGGGGCAAATGCTGCGGTCCATGGCATTATGTGCCACTTACACAAAGTTTTTTGCCAGGGCTTTGCCTTGCCGTGTGCCACAAAAGCAATGCCAAACCGTTTTTGAACTGGGGACAGCACATAGACCCCTAGCGCATTGAAAATTTGTAAATTCTAAGACAACCTGTTGAGAATTTCGTACCTGTCATGGCCAAGGACCAAACTGTACGCTGTGAAGAAGGCAACATACACAGAATAGATCACCAAATCGTTGAGCAGCATCTTCAACGCATAAGCTTGCCATTTGTATGTGATGATGCAGTGCACCAGTTGGGAGGAGAAGGCTGCGTCAGGGATATTCTTGGCCAGCAACAATGGCCGCAGGAGCCCCTTCATTCCCACACCACAAACATTGGGCACTGGGAAGACCCTCGCAAGGGCAGGCACCTCCACCTCGTCTGCACTGGGCCCAACATCGGAATACATCTCGTTCCACATGCGATTGATCATTTGGTTTCCAGGCATGAACTGGTCTGTTGTCGTGACCACATAGCCCGTGTCTTCAAAGACACTCTCGGGGACTGTCAAGTTGCCAACTGTTGTGGGCATCCCTTCAGCTGTGATGGCACTGAGGAACACTGCACATAGGGCAACAGAAGTGTTTGAGCTCACCATCAATGTTATCAGTGGAAAAAAGCAACTTGCCGTTTTCTGCTCTGCCGACATGGCACTATACATGTGGACTGCACAATGCGCGGTGTACAATCCTGTTCAGATGGGCAGGATAAGCACGTGCAACAATTCAGTTGCTGACAATCTTGCCCAAGCAAATCAGACAACTAGTGAACATTGGGAAGTCATACACTGTGCCAGGCAGAGCATTGAAACAACGACCTCGATTGGAATGACATCTGGCAAGTCCCACAAAGAGACCAGGGGCCCCAAACACTAGTCAGCACCTCTCATGCTCCAAAAGATATTCAACTCATTGAGCCACATCATGGCGTTCTGATTCCTAAAGTGCTGTGCATGGGTACGAACAAATTTGATAGAAAGGATATTATTTCAACAAGCCAGACACTGGCAGTATCCAGACTTTACCTGCAAACATGCTAATGGGTTGTGAAGACGTCAAAGCTAGCCAGACGTGGAAGCCCATAAGTGGTGCACAAGAACAAGCCACAGCAACTGGGAAGGGGCTACAACACAAACCCAGGTGCCTTTAGGCCAGATCAAAAGCTGCAGCAGCTACGGCTTTCAGGCATGCCGCTGGCATGTGCTCGCAAGGCCATTGATGTCCAAGCAAATGGACCAGCCACACAATTGGCCCAAATACACAGAGGGCACTTACCAGTGGGGTAAACCGTCCCAAGGGGGACCAGGCCCTTCCTGAAAGTTTCTGCCATCACTGGCGGTGTCACCACACCACTGTACATCGCCTGGATCAGCATTTGGGCGATCTCTGGCGAGCGACGGTCCACAGCCAGCTGCAAGGCGCTCCTGCACTGCCCCGAGTGGTACAAGCCCTCTGCTAGCTCCAAGCTGGAGAAGAACAGCATCTTGGTGCCCATCTCCAATGAGTGATCCAGCAGGATCTTGACCACAGCCACCTTCTCATCCTCAATCGCGTGCAGCAGAATGGACATGCCCTCCCCATCAATAACATTCAGCACAGCTGCCCCGTGCTGCTGCAGCACCCCCTCAAAGGCCTTGGCATCATCCAACTGGCCACTGAGGCACAGGGTGTAGTAGTCCGGCACAGCCCCCCGAGTGGCAAAGGGTGTCCAGACCATGATCTGGTTGCCCTCCCCGCATGCTGCACGGTTGCCGCTTGCGGACACCGCCAGCCTCTCCAGTCCCTGTATTTTGTAGCTGTCCAACACCTTGGAATATGCCTGGCCTTGGAGGGGGGCCATGGTCAATGATTCAGCCGCATCTTCATCCACAAGGCTGAATTGTGACACTGCATCTGCTGCAACTCCTCCTGACAGAGGGACCAACTCGTCCCTCAACACCCACCCACCATCTTCCGAGACCACCATGTGCTCGGGCATAGCGTCAATGGTGGAAGTGTCCACGTCTGCGCCCGGCCGAGCCACCACTGGCATGCTGGCAGCCCCCTCAAACCCCACCACCCCCAGGCGGCCATCGCTGGCAATGCTGCCAGGGAAGGGCAGCAGGTCAGCAAGGGGGAATGGGAAACTGGTGCGGGCCCGCTCTGTGCGGCTCACCACATCAAACACTACTATGCTGTTGCCCTGGGAGAGGAGGGTTGCTGTGCGACCGTCCGCAGTGAATTGGCACGCGGCGCACTCTCCTGATGCCATGACCTCTATCCTGTCAACAGCAGTACACGACTCCTCGTCGATCCATGCCAGGGTGCCACCCTTCTCGCATGCCACTACTGTTTCCCTGCCCTCCTCGTTGAAGGAAAACGCGATGGCTAATGCCCCTGGCATAGGACTGCTCCCCAGGATGCCCAGCTGAGCCTTCTCGTAATGCTCCCCAGGCTCGCGGTCCAACTCCCACAGGAGCACAACCCCAACATTCATCGCAGCCACCACCCGGTTGCCATCGCGCGAAAAGCTGAACTTCTCAAACCGGCCTGCAGAGCTCTTTTCTGCCCTCAGCAGCTGCAGCACTTCAGACTCGAAGTCCATGACATGCATAACTGCAGATTCATGCCTGGTCACTCCAAGGCGGTTCCCATCCAGTGAGAACACCAGCTCAGTGATGGGCCCACTGTCCGCCCTTGACTCCCCATCCCCGACACTGCCCAACGACTTCAGTAGGCTCTCATCAGTCAACACCTCAGGCAGGGAGTGGTGAATCATATGCCGGCCCTTTGAGGCACCCACCAGCACTCTTGTGTCCCAAAGCAACGACCCCTCAACTGCGCACATGGCCATCCTCTTCCCTTCTTCCGACAGACGCAGGTAGCAATAAGGAAGCACCAGATCGTCAGGCAGACATATATCAAGAAAGGCCAGGCCATGCGCCACGTTGAACAGGCAACCCTTGTTAGCTTCCGGCACATACAGCGCCAGCCAGGAGCCCTCTGAGGACATCCCAATGCAGTTGGACCCCGTCGAAAAGGCGTCCACCCACCTACAGGGAGGCAGGCAAACAATCTCCTAAGAATGTCAAAAACAATGGGCTTGCTCCCTGGACTGTACACTGTATGGAAACATTCTGGAGCCATCCGATTTGTTCCAGATGAACAATTCTGATGGTATTCTGCCTGTCACCACCTTGCGTGTGGAGGCGCAGTGTTTCCCACGGTTTTGAAAACGCCGCCAAGCAGATTGTCCCTTTGTCCACCTACCTGGCCAGTGCAGGAGAGCGGCCTATTCCCGTGCCCATTGTGTGGACGAGCACCCCCGTCTCCGCTTCACAAACAGACACGCTGATATCCCTCCCCATCGCGCACATTGCCACCCTGTGCCCCTTGGAGGAGTGCACGAAGTGCGCCCACAGCACACGGCCGGCGTCCCGATCACGCACCACAATGCTGCTGTTTGCCAGATACCTGGGATGCAGCTCAGGCTGTCCAGGGAACAGCTCCTTGAGCTGCGCCTTTGCCATTTCAGTCTCTGGCCTGCCAAGGGAGCTTCTTTTCCTGAGCTGCATCTGGGACTTCAGGCCATGCACGTCCCAGACGAAACAGGCCCCGCTCACATCCGCCTTGCCGCGTCTGGACACCTTCATCGCCGGCTCCCACGTGACCACAAGGCTGCTGTCTTGTGACCAGCTGCCCATGGACCCCGTCAGCGAGAAGCTGACACAGGGCGAGCGCCATTCGGGCCACAGCACCAGGCGCCCATTCACGTTTTCGTCAGAGCAACTGCATACGGCAAGCAAACCAGCCCCATCGGCTGAAAACCGGCTACAACGCACAGAGTAAGGGGTGCTGGGTAGCCATGCCACTGTGAGCCTTGCTTCTCTCTTCACCCCCTGAGCCCCCTCCAGAGCAAACACATCGATGTAGGCTGCATGCAGACCCTGTGCTTTCATCGCATGCAGCCTGCGAGCGGATGAGGACTTGTTCGATTTCAGGCCCATCTTCCTGCCAATGCGGAAGTCTGAGCGCGTCCTGAGATTGAGGGCAAGTAGAGTGGCCTGCTTGCACCGCCCAACCGAGCTGGAGTCGAACTTTTCCGAGTTGCTGTTGGCCGGGGGTGCAGGGCTGCACAAGCCAACCCCACTGGCACAAGTGACCTCATCTGTTTGGCTTATGTCTCGGAGGGCCTCGGTCACATTGACTTGGCCCGTCGTCAGGTTCCATCGAACCATGGAGCCTGACATGTCAACCGCTATTACATCGCTATTGGAGCGCCCAAAGAATTGGGTCAGCAGCACCTGTGCCGGGACAAAAACTGCCTGAAGCACAGGAGATATGCATGTGTATGCACATCCTCCCTCTCCTCTGGAGACTAGAGAAGGTGGCTCATTACTTAATAGCGCATTCTTCGCATGCAACAATCTCCAAAGGTGCCAACAATGTGAAAGCCAATCCACCAAGGAAGGGGGGGAGTATTGCCCAGCTGAAGCCAACAGAAAGACCACACTGTCCGGATAGGGACTGTAAGATAGTTGACCTTTGCAAATGATCTTGGGGGCTACATATGGAAGAATCCAGTGGTGGGGTGCTGGTCGAGCCAGTGTTGTGTTTCTCAGTACTCCAGTACCATCAATCACGATGATGAAAGTGCTGCTGTCCCTGTCTGCAGGATAAGTGCAGTGCCATTAATACTTGTGCACTGATTTTGTCCACAACAAGCAAACCCAACTGACAGTTGCAACCACCCCTCCCACTCCCACCTTGCAACGAATCCACTCAACCGCAACCGCCTACCCAGCGCCAAGTCGACGTGTGGATAGCCATGCTATGGAAGGCATCCACCACAGCAAGCAAACATCAACGTTTTTCAATGTCTGGCATTTTCAACTCGCCTGTTTCTGGAGGGCGTCCTTCAGCACACCAACCACCTTGCCATGCACAGCGTCCCAAACCTGGAGTTTACCATCCTCACTCCCTGTCAAAAAACGCAACCCATCAGGGGAGAAGGAGCACATAATGGGCAGATATGTGGGGCTTCCAGCTGGCGATGGCCCGGGGTCTTGTTGGTGCTCACTACCATCGGGCAAACCATCCACGGCAGCACTGTCTCTGCTGCCGAGTGAACTGTGCTGAGCGGCCCTCTCGTTGCTGTCCAGCGATCTGTCCAGGGCGGCACATTCATTGCTGCTCGGTGACCTCTTCAGGGCATCTCTTGCGGTGCTGTCGTGTGGCCCATCCAAGGAACGGCTGAAGCTGCTGCCAAGTGAGCTTTCCAGTGCATGACTTGCAAGGCTGTGGCCCGCCATGTCCATGTGCCTGTCAGGGTTCAAAACTGACTCCTGGGATGGACTGAGAACGAAGACGGGCACCCCATTGACAATTCGGTAGTCGTCAAAGAATGATAAGGTGGTGTTTATGATCCTTGGGCACCCTGCAGAGGCATGGCACGGGGTTCAGTCGTGGTCTTGGAGCCTGACAGTTGTCATAGCTCACCAATCTTGAGGCTGATCACGTTTACGCTGGTGGTGCAATAGAGTTGCACCACGCAACCATGCACACAGTGCATTCGAGTGGTAAAATGTTCCTCCGAATCTGGTTCACTGTTCTCCTAGTTGAGTTTTGGTTCACACTCGTCAAAGTCAACAACACGCCGCCCTGGCATCAGCAGCGCTGACAGGCAATGTTGAACAATGGTGGCACGCTGAATGCTCCACCGCGATGGAACAGCTTGGAACAGGAAAGAAAACGATGGATGACACAACAGGTTGGACAATTTGCCCATCACGATATCCAAAGTTCAAGGCATCACCTCAAAGACATTATGATTGAAAATTATTATTGAATTGTGTCAAAAAGCGTCGGCCTTGTCAAGTTCCCAGCCAGAATGGCCCTTCACAGGCACCAGAAAGATTAACTCACCACACCACGGTCCAACCCAAAAGAGTCCAGCCAAGTCCAACACTGCCCAGCCAAAAGGACAAGAAAAAGGATGGTAATAACCCCAGTGACTAGGGTTGGCACCTGAATTTGTCGATGCAATGCAACAAGGAAAGAATTGAAGACACAGTGCCCAGAGTATACACTCACTCAAGTTCTCCAAGGACATCTCATCGAATTGGCTCTTTCTGCGGTTCATGTACTTCTCCAGTTTCTGCCATGTGCCGTGTGCTAACCCCACAGGCAGGTGTGCCATGTTCCAGAGGTCCTCCCTGATATTCCATGGCATCTTGACCCTGAGCCAACCAGCGGCTCAGGGACGACCTGGAGAGATGGGAACCAGCAGCAGGATACAGTCGTGTCAGTGAAGAGGTGCAGAAATCCCAGGACAAAGCACAGGATGAGGGATAGTAGAAGTGCAGCTGACTGAGTCATGGAAACACAGCACCAGCAGCAGATGCGTCCTGCAAGGCGTCAGGAATGCACACAGTAGTCTGCATTTGGAACTGTTATTGGGACAAGGTTTGCTTGCAGGAAGTGCAAAGCTATTTCTTTTGCTGTCGACGCAAAGGGCCCAGCACGTTGGAAGTGTCTTTCTCGGCCATGATGAAACAAGCCCAGTCACTGCAGCTGTCTGGGCACAGAAGACATGGGAGCACAACAACAGTAAGGAATACAGCACCCTGGCTTCTATATGTATACTGCTCGAGCCATGAATCCCGCGGCACCTGTTAATTTATGAAAAGCACACTTTTGTCGATGCGAACAACACCGGCTCCATTTTCTTGCAGTGCCTTGTTGAGTGTGGAGAGCTGTGAAGGGAAACAAGCGGTTGAGCGAGGCCGTCCATGGCACTTGGCATCTGCCGCCACCGCACGTCTCCTTGTTCAAAGAGTTTGGCAGAAATCTCGCTTGGGGGTGATGTGCACTTTGCACGCACAGGTTATAAGGTCAGCCGATTGCTGTGGCTCAGTATCCACAGCCTGGGATAGCCATAAGGCATAATTCGTGACACAATGTCTTTTGTCTTGCTAGGGTTCTGTCTGTCGTGTGTTTGTGACAAATAAAGTCCATGGTATTAGCAAACGTTTGCTTTGCCAACACGTCGAGCACACTAGTTGCCAATCATGGGGGTGGTGTGCCTGTAGGCACAGTCGACCTTGTACTTCAGACGCAGCGAGGTGCGTTGAGGGAATTCCTGCGCGCAGAACAGCACCCTCCCCGCTCTCCAAGACACCGTCGCCACCGCACCGCCGTGCAACTGCCGCGCGACAAACAGTCGACCAGCGTCGCAAACCGCACCCTCCGCCTAAAAATTCCGTGAACACAAGCAGCAGCCCTACGCGAGGCGCGTGCTTTTGACGTGCGCGGCGCACGGCCAGCGACGGCCGTCAGAAAGGCGCCCGGCGGCGATGGCCCGAACGAGTCGGTGGCATGACTACCGGCTGGGAAGGTGGAAGGGACCTGACGATGATTTGCAATGGGCGCGGGGCCCCGGGGTCCCCTTCGGCGCGCTGTCGAGGACCCAAACGAGGAGGCGGCGCGGGGAGGCGCCTCGCGCTTCTGCGCGAGATCATCCCGCCTCTTTTGCTATTGACCGGCGGCGGCTCGCCCTGTCGGGAAGTCTGACATAAGGTGTTCCACCACCCCCCACTGCCCGCAAATACGCGCTTGGAAATGATCAGTGGACGCCACTCGCAGGGCGGCGCTCCTAACCCCTGCAGGGACCAGAAGGGACGGCCACCCCGCGCCGCCAGCCAAGGCCCAATCCCAAATGGGCCCACAGCACCAACCCCCACCCGCCCCCGACGAAATCCAGGCAACAACCCTCCGATATCAAAACCAGCCAGCATCTGTTTGTCCGAAGCGCAAGTGCGACATTCCCCGCCTCCCCAGCGCCCCGCGTTTCGAATCATCACGCGCAACCGAGCGCGAGCCCACCGTGCCGTCGCACTTGTGACGGACCGCCGGAATGGCCCCCTTGCCCGGCGGCTGGTGGTGACTCTCGTGGACCCCGATCTGCTGCCCCAGTTGCCCTGTCGCAGTCTGTGAGCTTAGCTGCGCGGGATGCGCTCGATGGCGGCCTTGGGCTGTGAACTTGGGAAGGAAACCAGGTTTGGACTGTGACCCGGGGGCCACAAACTGCTCCGGGCCCCGCGTGGCGTGGGCCATGGTGATGGTCCATGGTGAGCGCACTTCAAAATGCGTTGCGCGCTCCCTGGCGTGATCGCGGAAGCAGGCAGAGGGGGAAGTGCAGCTGCGCGGCTGATCCTCTTGGAGGTTTGATTGATTCAGGGCGCTGATGACAGGGGCGCTCGGGTTTGACTCCAGGCTCCCGCTGACGTGACGTGTTGTACATTGCGCCCCGTTGGATTTGCGAAAGGGGAGGCGCAATGTACTGCACCGGGCGGGAAGCCCAACGAGCAGGGAATCCTGTCGGTTGTAAACTGTGGCCTTGTTGGATTTGTGAAGGGCGAGGCGTAATGTACTGCACCCAACAGGATACCCGACGAGTCCGTCGACACCGACACTCGCAGACACTGACACGCATCGGGCGTTGGGCATCAGAAAGGGGGTGGGGGTTCCAGTCAAAGCGGGAAAAACAGTCGAAAACCAACCCAGCTCCCAAAAACAAAACAAACCATGGACTAAATTTAAAATTTCAAAAACAGCCACGCACACGAACCGGGCGCCCGCAAGTACTGGGCTGCTTGCGCCCGCCCAGCTGTTTCTGGCCCAAACGCCCCGCTCCCGCAAGCAGACACAGCCCTCCGTGCCGCGCACCCCAACACCGACCCGCCCCGTTTGCAGGGCGTCGCCAGACCGATTTTCGGAGCCCGACTGGGCGGTCGATGCGCGTGTACCCGAGGAAGGGAAGCGTCGGGATGGCCACGAGGAGGACCGCCCCGTCCCCGTCCCCGCCTACGCTCAGCCCGCGGTCGGGCCGATCGCCGCGGGTCGGCGTCCCCAAGGATGCTCAGCCGGAGGCGCCCCGCCGATCGAGCGGCCGATCGGCTGCGATGCAGATCCGCGCCAGCCTGAAGCCGGTAGGTCAAACGGGCGCCGCTGACTCCGATGGGAGGGGAGGGGGTGGGTGGCGAGGTTCGTTGCAAGGAGAAACAGGTCATTCAAAAGTGCACACCCTCCCAAGCAAGTGTGCGTGAGACTGTTTCGGCATACTGTGAAAGGATGATGTAGAGTCCCCAGTGCAACAAGAAGAGCACACAACACAACGGCGGGGAAGGGGGTGGGGGTTAAGATCTGTGACAAGGAGAAAGGGAGTCGCGCAAAGGGGACCACCTCCTAAGCAAGTGGGCATGAGACTCTTTTCCGTATTGTTCACTAGCGATAAGATGATGCAGAGTCTCCGGTGCAGCAAGATGAGCCACAACGTAATGGGAAGGGTGGGGTGGGGTGTGGGGGTAGGTAGCTTTCCTGTTGCTGGGGCCCTGACCCGGGGCTGCGGGCGTGTTCGTGCAGCGCGGCGAGAAGATGAAGGTGAAGCGTGAGGGGCGGGCGGGCAAGGGGGCCGGCCGTCGGGTGACGCTGCCGACGGTGGTGAGGCTGACGGAGTCGCGCGGCATGCCAACGACGCCCACGCGGCAGCGGCCGGAGACCCCCCTCAGCGCCAGCGCGCTGGGCGAGAAGGCGCCCGGCGGGACCAAGCGGAAGCGGTCCTCGGAGGTGGGTGGGGCCGCGACTTCGCCCTTGGCCGAATCTCCTCCCACGTCGCCCCGTGGCGTTTTGACATTTGGCTCGTAGTTCCTGTTGTCCTCTCCTGGCTTCGCTGTTAGGCTTCGCAGGGGCTCGTTGGTGTCCGCTTGCCTGTTACCTGCGGACTGGATCTTGCCTTATCTCGATGCCCAGCCTTTGTCGATTGTGTGCCGTGTTTTGGCTGGTCAGAGGTGTTTGGGCGCTGTTCTGTGCGCAGAGGCCGAACAGCGCCCCCTCCCGCGGGAGGCGCAAGAGCGAGGCGTCCGGAGGCGGGCGGATTGCGTCGGGGGCCGCGCGACGGGGCAGGAGGTCGAGCGCGCCGCAGACGGGCGCGCCCGTCGCCAAGGGGACGCCTGCCGCTGAAAGCGTGCCTAAAGGTGAGAATAAACTATCGCCGCGGGCTTGGCGTTCAAAGGGGCGGCCAAGCGCACGAGGACGCTCGCGCACGTTGACGAGTTCGAGCCGTTTGCCGGGTGGCGACGCGACAAAGTGTCCGGTCTCCCGTCGCGTGCGTATGCGCTGGCTCCGGTCGGGATCCCCGTGTCTCCCGACTTGGCCTGCTCTCAAACCTGGGAGGCCCAAAGCGAGCCTGCGCGCGTGTCGCGCAGATGTCTGCAGCTCCTGATGGCGCCAGATCCGCGCGGGCCGTTTCCGCTGTTCGTTCCCCTTTTTCATCGTCTATGCTTTGTTATTTTTTTGGTTCTGTCCGCCGGTGATGGACGGGGAAACAAACGCACTGCCTGCACTCGGGCGACGCGTCGTGCGTGGATCTACATCCGCCGGACGGAAGGGGCGACGCCCGGCGTGAACATGCGCAAGCGGGAATTGCGACAGACTTCCCCGAAAGCTGCATGCCTTCTTCTCTCAGTGCGACGTCTTTCTCGCTGCGCACATCGCGATTTTGGATACATGCCGCGCGTCGGCGTCAGCCTATGTGCGAGGGCGGAAGCCGATCCGGTGTGATTGTGCCGCCTTGCAGGGGCAAACACGGCCTCGCTGACAGAAAGCAACTGCATTCAAATGACCAACCCCAGCCATCTCCTCGTCCCTGTTGCTGAGAGTTTTTGTGAGGCTCTGTGTGCGTTTGTGCCCCCCCCTCGCAGACGCGTTCTCTACCCTGTCCCTGAGCTCGTTGAGTTCCCCAGGCAGTCCTGGATCCGAGCTGCCGCCCGTTCAGGTTGTGGGATCCCTGCCCACCAGCCCCATGCCAGGTGGGTTTACTCCCCAGAGTAATCGTAAGCCCATGCCCTTCCATGCAGACAGGCCCTTCCATGCAGACAGGCCCTTTTCACAACAATTTTTTGGAGCAGTGCGCCCCTCTGTAACCATTACAGTGTTCTTCTCATGATACACAGCAAGCCATCTCTGCTGAAATATGATGCGTACGGCCTCACGGCATGCCTGTGAATGGGTGCACAACCAGCCATACAGGTCCCAGAAATATCTTTCAAACAGAGAGTGGGAAAGGCATCTCCACTTCCTTTGACAAGAAAATGTTTGTGAGGCAGTCTTTTGTTCGAAGAAACATGGAATGGCAAGCACGTGGCGCTGCATGAACGGCCTAGAACATTGGGCTTTTAAAGATCCAAGATTGTCCCTGAGATTATTGTGCTATAACAACTACTGTCACAGAGTTATTATGTAAGAACTGGGGGACTGGTCATGCAGTGTGTGCTCCCACCTGAGCAATGTTTGTGAGCTGCGTTCACTTGTCTATTTGCTTAGGAGGGTCAGAACACATCAGGACAGCACAGGACGCAATGCAGAATTTGGTAGCACTTGCTGAAACTTCCCTGCAGGCCCAATGCCCCAACTGTGGTGTCCTTTAAAGTGCACAAGCTTTCAGCAGTTGCAGACAGTCATATTGTCTTGTTCCAAATTGGGGCGTGGGCTCTGACTGACCACTAGAAGGTGACTAGAAGGCAAACTGTTTGCGTGGAGGGCAGGAAGAAGGGCCGCATCAACTTCCCTTGTTTCCCACTGGGAGCCTGGCACAGATCCGTTGACACTGGTTCCTCACATTTTCGTCCTGTTGCGCCGCATGTGTATTTCACAATGGCACTGGTGTGCATGGGCATATGAGCATGAAATGGGACACAAATGCTGCATCAAGTGCTGCATCGTGCAGCAAGTAAATGTCTATAGAGATAGGATGACATATCTGTGAAGCTTCTATAAATTTTAGGACTGCAGTTTTGCCTCTTGGGCACCCAACAGTATGGATTTGGCAAGGGAAGGATGCAGTACTGATTTCCCCACGTTTGGCAAACAGCCACTGGCACTGTAACCTTTCTTTGGCTGCAGTATTCGACCCTGTAGAATGCACACACAAGGCTGCCATGGACTTCATATTGATGCCATCGTTAGCATCTGTGCATCGGAAGAGATAGCTGGTGCCCGGATTGTCTTGTTTCTGGTGCTATGAACTGCAATGCCTCGGTACTGCTGTGCCATGTGTAGTGGCAAAAGTACTGGACTTGTGGAGCATTAGCTTGAAAAGGTGCATCACTGGCATCCTTGCCACACAGCCTCATCCAGAGGTGGAAACAGTGTGGCTAACCAGGAATTAGCTGCACACAACAGCTCACAGTCCCAGCATCAGATTGGGCGATAGCAGCCACATGTCTACAGTGCTTCCCCCTTCGAACCATCTGTTTTGCACTCTTAAATAGCCAAAAACCCTGATGAAGAAGCCCTGTTGTTGTGTGAGGGAAGATGGGACTGGCACCCAGGTGAGTGTCCTCGAGTTTTGTCCCTGGTGCACAAATGCGCACACTGAGGTTTCAGTTGATGGCAGCGTGCAGTCAGCCTGAAACTGTGGTCATTGTGCAGAGAGCCAAAGTGTGGCCTGGGCAACGCCAGCCAGTGCGACTGCAGTTGAGGACAAGGGAGGGGCCGTCAACCCATTGTTCGATGCACCCAAGATGGATCAGGCCGAAAGGCCGAAGCGGAGCACTGGCCCTAAAGGGAAGAGGTGCGCATTTGTTGCAGCTTTGAGAAACAGCCTGGGAGTAAACAGCAGAGGATGTTGCGATGGTGCGCTTCATGCCTGCCCCATGACATGATCCCCAGGTGCAGGAAACAAGCAGGGCAGCATTTTGCTGAAATGTAATCTCAAACTTGAAGCAAAATGGGACATGTCAGATGCTGCAAATTCATCGCTTTCCAAAAACTTACAGTTAGGCAATGTGCATATCTGCCACACGCTCTGCAGCAGCATGTTTTTTTTCTTCTCTGTTGCCCCAGATGCGAACAGCAGCCGATGTCATGTACAACGTGCAGGGAGAGTGATTTGAATGTTTTGGTACTTGCAAGCCAGTAGGATTCTTGCTCCATTGTTTGCAGAGATGCTACTTGAGCGAAATCCAACATTGGCAGCGTTGGTTGTACCACATGTCTGCAGCATTGTGCATTGTCCCAGGGACTACTTGGAGAGGTGTGTGATTTGCCTGACCTTCACGGAAGTAGTCACAATGAATCTGCAAAATGGGTAACGTACCTTTGTACACAGTGTGTGGGGACACATGGAGGATGGCCTGTGTCGATACTGTAACCAAACAACCTGATAAAGAACTAGTGGTCATACAACGTAAGTATCAAAGAAGACCATATCAAGAACATTGTTGTAATAGAAACAAAACGCAACAATGAAGGAGAAGGAAAACATCTTATAGCAAAGATTCCCCAGAAACCTTGCCATGATCGGCAAGAACCTCCAAACTGCATTGTCGTCAGGGCACGTCCTATGCAAGAGGATTATGCAACGTGCAAGGCGCAACGGGCAACTGCTAGTGAAGGCAGTTGGCAAATGTGCCTTGAAAACAAAGGATGCAAGGTGACTGTTCTTCTCATGTTCACATTTGGCTGGCGTCAGGACCAAGTCGCCCACTATGGCGGAGCAATTGAAGGATCTTCAGCAAGAGAACGCTCGGCTGAGAGCTGAGCTTCAAGAAGCCAAGGCAGAGCAAAAGAGGAAGGCGCAGGAAGAACCCGATGATGACACCCTGCGCACCAAGCGTGCCAAACTTCCGGTGTGTGCCATTGCCCCTCGTTGGATGCACATTTTTCTGTATTGTGTATGGCGGTGACGCTCGTTGTGGTGTGAAAGTGCTTCCTGTGCACAGTGATCAGGCAACCAACAGAAAGAACACACAAAACACTTGCTGGTGCGAACGAAAGTTTGTGCAAGTGAAACCCTGCCAACTTCCACCTCTCTGCCACCCCCATTTTACTCCATTTGCAGCTTGCAAACACGATTCCAGGAAGTCATATTGGATCCAATATTGGATGAGTATTGGTTCCATATTGGATTGATTACTTGAAGGGTACAATTGTTCGTCCTAAATGTTCTGCATTCTTGTACTGTATTGCTTTTAAGAACATCAATGAAACTCAATCCGATGCGGCGGCCAACACGCCCCGACAAGGCTGTTGATGGTGCAGTCTGACACCCTCACCAGGCACCCTCGACTTGACGAATGCTGAGAGATGATGGCGATTCCCATGTTGTGTTGCACACACGTTTTTTGACGATGGATTGTAACCAACAACCCATGCTGGAAAATCAGAGACCAGCGCATTCTGGGTAACAGGGCTGCAATGTCTTGGCTTGATACTGAAGCCACTAGCAACAGCAACTAGCAACAGCAACCTAACTGTGCTACTGACCGAATTGTTGATACCGCTTCCCAGTGCGAACATGGAGCCGATGGGTTCCTCCTTGCCTTGATACTGAACCTCAGATTAGGAATCCGAGACTGATCAGCTTGTCGCAGTGCTCGCAGGCTGCTGTGCGCAGACCAAGGCAGATCTCACCACCTGCCGAAGGGATCAGGAGGCCTACTCCTGTTCGGTCAATCGTGACAACGGTGTTCACCCTGTCACTGCTGGGAGCAGCAGCCGTTCAGGCGCCCTGGGTGCTAGCTGCTCTCAAACTGTACCTCGAGTGACTCCAGTCGTGAGTTTCTGGGCCGCAGTTTTGCATGAATTATGGTTTGACTGCAGGCCCCGCGTTGCGAACATCGCTCCAGAACCTTCAAGACGGCAAGTGACTTTCCCTACTTCCATGAGGGGACCGAGTGGAAAAAACGGAAAAAAAGCGAAAGCGCAGCACATATGGCGTGGCACTTGCATGCCCAGTAATGTGGCCGGTGTGTGTTCAGTCGAGGGTTATTACTTTCCTGCAGTAAGGGCGCAAGAAACGAGGATTTTTGACGGACGGGGTGTTTGACTCACAGTGACCTGCAGAGAGGGAGCTGGCCTACTATGACGTGACCCTCGCTGGATAGTTGCTCGCACGTTGTGACTGTTTGTTGGAATTGTTTGTGACATGTAATCGGGGGGGTGAATTCCCCTGCGTGATCGTTCATCGTCCATCAATGCCCCGATTTCGGTGCCTGTCTGTTAAAATTTTTTTGGCATAGTCGGCTGGGTTGGAAATGGGCACCAATATTGGAATCGAGAATGCATGTTGTCCCATACTAGAGCGTGTACACTATTTCGAGCAATTGAAGATTGGACAATGATTGCATGCAAACATCTCGTTCAAATGAGCGGTTTCCTAAAAATTTTTGGCAGTCAAGCTCTCATTTGCAACGGTGTCCCCAGGCGTCCGTCAGGAAAGCATTCAATTTGTTAACGGATTCTTGACGGCGCTGCTGCAAAATGAGACTGAGGTTCAAAACCCCCTGCTTGCACAACTAGTTGCGAGCCGGAGTCCAGCGCACGAACGAGCTGTGTGACCCCATCTCACACCAAACCAAGCTCCACCTCCCCCGCGCCTCCCTGCTCCCCTGTCCCCCGCTCCCACCTTCACTTCCCTCCCCCTTCCCCCTCTCCCCCCTGTTTTTGCGATCGCCCCCCTTCCCCCCCCCTCTCCTCGCGGCCGCCCGCGGCCATGTGGCGATCCATGATGGAGGCGCGCCTCCGCACTACTCTGGTCATCAACCTGACGGCGATCTTCGAGTGGGCGGACCTTGTGATCCTGCCGGCGATGTACGACAACGTGTCGAGGGCGTTCGACGACGCGTCGCCACGCCAAATGGGCCAGCTTTCCACGGCGCGGGGCGTCGTGCAGGCGCTGTCGTCACCGATCGGCGGCGCCCTGGGTGAGCAGTCAGTACAGAGAGGAACCGATGCTCTGCAGTGATGTTTTGAACTGGTGTTCTCAACTGATGTCTGAAACCCATATTCTAAGCTGCTGCAATGATGGCGACCAAGCGGCCAAAGCGCTGCGCAGAGAGAAGGCGCACGTTCGAGCGTCGGGCGCTTGGCTCGTCGGCGTATCGAACGGAGCGGCGGTGCGCGTGGGCGCGTCCCGCCCATCGACTGTCGTCAGACCCGGAATGCCCGCGATCTTGGAGTCGCGTGGAACAGGGGATTTTGGGACTGTCGTTTTTCGACCAAAGGTGCAGTATGGGGCGCAATGGGCGCCCTCGTTCTAAACCAGAGCGTGGTGTAGACTTTTGCTTGTCGCCCTTGCGCGTTGTAGAAGAAGCTGCGGACGTCTCCGAGGTGAACAGGCCGGCAAGGCTTAACATGCGGGAGGCGTCGCTTGGGCGAACGTCGAGCTGGCCGTCGAGCCTGCATGGCAAGCGGGGCATCGCTGGGAGACCGCTGTCCGCGTTAGGGGCGCAGATTGTGCAGCCCTTAAGTATTGGAGCAGTTTGTCGAAAGCAACGCAGCGCAGAGGGCACGTGGCTGCAGACAGAATGTCCTGAACGCGAGTCCGTGAACCCCAAAGTCTGAATAAGAACTTGATCCATTGCCGCGGCTTACCTTGGGCCGTTGGTTGGTACTGTTCCGGGCACCATGGATGGCTTGCACGCTTGTGGAATGGCCGTGGGGTTCAAACAGGGAGGGCGCCTGTTCAGCGCTGATGCTTTCCACACTTACAGGTTGGCCGTCGCAGCACTGCCTTTTTACTTGGGGGCTGGGGGCCCTGCACAGCCAACACATCGAGGGGGGCCCATTCAGAGGTGTGGGTGGGATTCTCCGATTTGCAAAGCAGCATCTGTGTGCGACCTTCAAGCTGCCAGTGCCTTTGCCGCGGCTGCAAGGTCCCACGCATTTTGATGCAGGACAACCATAGCCTGCTGACACAATTTCGTCGCGGATCCAGGACTGTACATAATCGAATGAGACACTTCATTGCTTACAATGTGCATCAAACCCTCTTTGTAGGCAAATGTGCTTGTGAGGCGTCTTTCATGTCTGTCCCTTTGCGGTGCTCACTACCCTAGGCACTGGGTTGAGGGAGCCAAAGATTTTGGCACAAATAAATCCAAATAGTGTAGGGAGCAACGTGTCAGCCAACAGCTGCCAGTTCTCTTTTCAACGCCCCTTATTCACAAAACAGAGTGTCCACCAAACTCCTTCACACGATGCCAAAAAAATGAGGCAGCTTTTTTCTGTGTCATCCAAGCAATAAAAAACTTGATGCCCCTCATCAGTCAACCCATGCAAGGTACAAGGCAACTTGACCGCTGGGTTATTATATAGCATTTGGAGCAGCTGCATATGTATTGGCAAGGGTTGCCTGTGTCCTTACCACTGGCAGGATGCAGGCATCCATGTCCATATTGGGCCATTATCATCTTGCCCATGAACTTACATGTGTTGTCGCGTTTGTCGCAAATCTGAATGAAAGGGAATACATGATGCCGGCAACTTTGCAGCATTACAAGTAGTGTGGACGAATGTGCGGGTCATGACATAACGCTGTTGCTGTCAGCCAAGACAGCTCTCCTGCTTGCCGGGAGCACTGTGGATTTTCTTAGAGAAAGAAAATGAGCAACCAAACTCTAACAAATGCTTTGGATGTAGTGGCGCCCATCAACGGCTTGAAATTCACTGGCAACATTGTCCATTGTTGACAATACGCAGCAAAAGCATTCACAAGTCAACTACACATCCAAACAAGGGGGCTCTGTGTGTCCTTAGATTATTGGCATCTTCCCTGGAATTGGCGTTCTGGGTGGACGAAAATTGAGGGGCCGAACTTGCCTTGCACTAATTGTTCTGTTTGATACATTAGGGCGAGTCAATGACACTGCACATGACTTGAATCTGTGTTGCTTTACGTGGACTGTTAACCCGACGTCTTGGCGCTGGAAATGGCTGGGTCGATTTTGTCATGTTGTCAAGTGTTTCCTTCAATCAGTCCATTTCCCACTGAATCCCCAGTTGACAGTGTTAAAATAGCTGTCAGCTCTGTTGGAATGCTGTCGGGCAGTTGGGAATGGATACAATGCCGAGGGCTGCCGCTGCTCGATGCATTGACTGGAGGATCTCATGATGCGTATCCTGAACTTACGGCAGGTTGGTGAGTTCCAACGCGCCCAGTTGGAATGTCCAGGCCTCCACAGACCCCCATATGGCCAACGAAGGCGCAGAGTGCAGCATCTGTCAAACTCTTGACGACGCACATTGCTACAAAACCACCGAGCGAGTGCCCTGGAATGCTGCGAACTTTCTTCCCTCGTGTTTGACACCCGCAAGCGTGCCTTGCAATCACGTCTTTTGAAATCTTGCCTTGCCGTGTGCTGTGCAACAGGCCACTTCAATGACCGCATATCGATCATCGTCGCGGGCTGCGTCATCTGGGGAGTAATGACCATGGTCTTCGGCACGCTGAGCTCCCTGGCCCTGGCTACGCTGGTGTGGAGCCTCAACGGCTTCGGCCAGTCGCTGGTCATCCCCAACTCCCAGTCCATCATCGCGGACTACTACCCGGCCAAGGCGCGCGGCAGGGCCTTCGGCACGATCTACTTCACGCAGTCCGTGGGGGAGATTCTGGGCAGCCTATACGCCGTCAGCCTGGGCTCCCGCCAGGTGGGGCCCGTCGACGGCTGGCGGTTCGTTATGTTCACCTTTGCCATTTTCAGCGCCTTGACGGCTTTCGCCAATTGGGCATTCGCGCGAGATCCTCGCGCATTTGCGAGCCCACCGGGCAGGGAGGGGGTGGAGATGGGAGAGATCGGCGAGACGACGGTCGACGAGACGCCGATCGACGAAGGCGACGGGGAATCGAATAAGGATGCGGATGACGGCGTCGGCGGGAAGGTCGAGGAGGACAGCCGCGAGGGGGGAAAGGACGGAGAGAACGGGCCGGCGCGGGCGGCCAGGGTGCGCTCGGAGGAGTTGCTGGGTATGTTCTGGAGCGTGCTGAAGATCCCCACGTTCTGCATCATCATCCTGCAGGGCGTGGTGGGCAGCATGCCCTGGAAGGGCCTCATGGGCTTCTTCATCCTCTACTTCCAGCTGATGGGCATGACCGACGTCCAGGCCTGGCAGGCCTACAGCGCCTTCCTAGTGGGCACCGCCTTCGGCGGCCTACTGGGCGGCTGGGTGGGGGACGCTGCCGCCAAGATCTCCCCCGACCACGGCCGCATCCTGGCCTGCCAGTTCAGCGTCCTCTCCGGCCTGCCGCTCACCGCCATCCTCTTCCGGTGGATGCCCTCCAACGCGGCCCCGGCCACGGTCGCCGGATACGTCCTCATCTGCTTCGTCTACGGCTTGCTCATCAGCTGGGCGGCTCCCGCGTGCAACAATCCGATCTTCGCGGAGATCGTGCCCGCTGAACGGCGCAGCGTGATTTATGCCTTCGATCGGTGTTTGGAGAACGCCATCGCGTCGCTGGCCAACATGTGGGTGGGCGCGGCGTCCGAGGTGTACGGATTCCAGGGGGGAGCGTCGAGGTCGGGGGACCCGCAGAAGGACGCAGAGAACTCGCGGGCGCTGGGCATGGCCATGCTGGTGTTCAGCGTGGTGCCCTGGTCGCTGTGCTTCCTGTTCTACATGGGCCTGCACTACACCTACCCGCGGGACAAGAGCAGGGTTGCGTCACGATACACCGCCCTTGCAGCGTCCTGAGGGGCTGGGGCGTCTTGTCCCCTTTTTCACCTTTTTCTGATTAGCGGCAAAAAACTTTCTTGTTCCTTAGCGCTGTTGCGACTCCTTCTTCCTTGGCGGCGATTTCTTTTCTTTTTGCTCAGCGTTGTGTTTTTCTATTGGCATTTTTTATTTCCATTTTTCTCAGGTTGGTAGGCAGGCGAAGGAGGGCAGTAGACGAGGCAGGATGTGGTCCGTGTGAGGGTGAGGAGGGTTTGACTAGGAAAACGACAGATCGGAGAAGGGTGGAGTGTGTTGCTTGGCGGGGTGGGCCATGGCCGACGCGTGGCAGAACGGGCCTCCGAGCAGGGATTGGCGATATCTGGCTTGTATTATAAAGAGAAACCTGTACCTGAATGGACTGCACAGTGTTGAATGCCGAAATTTCCACGATTGATTGGCCCATCGTCAATGGATCCATTCAGGTTCATGGGGCAACGAGACTGCGCTGGGTGGACTTGGAGCTGTCCGTTGCAGCTGAAGTTCTGGCAGTTCCAAACGTGTGTTTTCCCAAACCCCAGGAACCCAGGCTCACAGGAGTGAGGGTCACTGTGAGCCAGTGGACAGAATGGTCCATTTTGGGGGATCCAATGCGTGCGTATCTGCTTGTGGCTGAGCTTCGATGTGCAGACGGCCCAGAGCAGTGGGAAGGCGGCGGTCAGAACCCTTCTTCCCGCAGCTGCTGGCAGCGGACCACGAGCGTGGAACATAAACAAAAATCTCTGGTGTCAGAAGTTCATTCAGATGGATCAATGTAGTCGTGGCTGTTGTGCAGCGAGTCATCAACAATTCAGGAACAGACACAGTCGTTTGGCCTCCAGCCCGTTTCATCGCCTTGTATGCGCATGGTGCCGGCAGCCTGAGCCCACATTATTCAATTGGAAAAGTGCGCAGAGGACTTGTGAATTTTGTGAACACAGTTGGAGCACAAACAAAAACTTGGGCTGATGGATACCACGCAACCCATTTCTACTTGAGAGACTTCTTTCCCCCGGTTCATGCTGTGCAGAAACAATTTTGAAGCTTCCAGCACCGTTGTCCATCACCATCCCCTTTCCGACCAAAGCCCATGGCCGCCCAAGGCGCTGCCCGACTTGAACCAAAGTACCAAGCACGACCGCTCCATGCTTCGCTCAGTCCCAAAATCGAAATCACAACATGATGGACGGGAGGGCGCCAATCAAGAAAATGATGGTCGTGGCCTCCCCTTAACGGAGGTGTTGCCCGCTACTCTCACAAAGTTTGTCAAGGCCACCCGTTTGAAACGGTTCCCTGCTCTCCTGTAAAGCGTGTCGAAAGTGCAATGACCCTTGGCCCAAATTCAAAAACAATTTTAAATACCGTGGTTGTCAAAGTTCCTTAGCCATCCCGGTTCGAGGTCCCGCTCGTCGCAATCGAATGCACGCAGCGATGGGCCACAACGCAGCACAAGTCAAACCGACTTGGTTCGACAACTGGGGCAACCTTGGTGCACATGGTGCTCGAACGCACTCGTCGTGCATGGTTGGACAAACAGCCAGGACTCAACTTGTCTTACAACCAAACCAAGAGAAGCCACGAACAAGTCTCGGGGTCTCCTTAAATACCAGAATGCGCCTCTTTTTCGCCCACCAGAACTCACACTCAAAACGGCAGACTGAAATCACACTTCACACATGCACAACACACTACCCCACAGCACCGGCCCATAGTATCGACCCTCGGCACCGACCCACAGCTCCAACCCATAGTACCTATTCACGATCACCAAAATTAGAAAGATTGAAGCTGATTGTTGGCCAGCCGTCCTCCCGCCATCTCAATCAATTCAATGTGTGCACATGAACAGGTGCTAGCACAACATGGCAGCTGCGGCTGTCTTGGTGTGAAAGACTCTTATCTCTTTAAACTGGCTCTTTAAGCTGCATTCGCTTCTCTCATTGAGTTTCACTGCACATCAGTGTTCAGCCACCGACCTCCAGTCATGAGAACTGGAAAGTTGCATGTGAAACATCGAGAAAAGGTGACAGCCATTCAAAGATATTGTCGATGGCATTTCTCGAAACGGGATTCTCATATGCCACCATTTCATCATTGGATTACAAATCAGTAATTGACGGAGGCAGATCAGTGGTCAATTGCTGGTAATTCGAACAGTGATATCCATATGGATATGGAAAAGAACGTCAAAAGCTGCCTGCCAGCACCACTAGACTGCCTTGCCCACCGCCAGCCCCCACATCCTTTGTCCTGCCATAGGTTCACAGCTGGCGGACTTCGCAACTGGCCCTCAAACCGTCAGGCTTTTCCCCACCACACTGCTTTGGCGAAATGGTGGGCCAAGCACCTAGTGGCTCCGGTACGGTCACGGTACCTTGTCCAGCATGCTACTTGGCCAAACTATCGGTGCTCCCCTTGCCCCTTGCCCTGTCACAGGGTCCCGGAGACAGACCATGAGCACGGTCACGGTGATGGAGACCAGACGGAGACAGAGACAGTGAGACGGGTCACGATTGGGCGTTTGCACTTTTCTTTAGGGCTCTGAACCCTGAATCAGGGTTTCTCAGTACGGAGACGGTCACTGAGACGGGTTAGGATTGGGGAGGGTGTCGGGGGTGGGTTTCGGTTTAGGGCGATTGGGGGTGCGTGCAGTGCTTTTGCTTTTGGGTTTTCGCTGCACATGGGTCTCACGGCAAGCCCATGACTTGGCCACAGGTGCGGGGCGGCTCATGGTTGTGCATACGGCGAGGCGGCAATGGCTGATTATGGTGCAAGGTGCATCGTGTGTACGGGCGACCACCCCCCTTCGCGGACTGCATACAGTTCCACCCGTGTGCACTGGGTCTCGGCATACAATTACTGGCTGCACCAAATCAGTGACTTTTTGCACTAAATCGGTGACTTCTTGCACCAACTCCCTCCAAAACTTACCTAACCTAAACCCTAAACCCTAAAACAAACCTGCCCTAAACCTAATCTTTGCCCTAAAACTCACCCTAAAACTAAACTTAACCCTAGAACTGAGGTTGGGACATTGTGTGCACGTGATTTGATTTGGTCTTCGTCTCCGTCACCGTCACCGTGCTCATGGTCCGCCCATCAACCGATCGTCGTTCCGATTTACATCCCATTTAATCCCATTTCCAGTACTTTAATCAATCCCTGCCCGCCCCGCCGCTTGCCGGACGGGCCCTGTCCGGCGATCCACCCTCGCCATCCAAAAACGGCGCAAATTCCCCGCGGCGGCAAAACCAGCACACACCCCACGCCAGGGCGCCCACCTTCTCAAGGGCACACGCCCACACTCACGGCAACAGCGCCCAAGACAGCCAACCGGCCCACCGGTCCAAGCCCGCTGCCCACCGCCATCCCCGCCGCGCCGCATCGCGCGGGCAGCGGCCATGGCCGGCAGCCGCGGCCGGCGGGTTGACTCGGTCGAACTCGACTTGGAATCGCCCGCCGGTGGCGATCTCGAGACGCCCGCGGCGGTCCGCCGGGACGAATCTCCGGATGGCGCCAGCGGCAGCGAGCTGGAGTCGGGGGAGATCGTGGAGGCCGCGGGGCGGCCCACCGCATCCCCACGGTGCGGGGCGGAGGCGGAGGCTCCTGGTGGGGCCGCCGGGGAGGAGGGCGGGGACGGGGGCCGCATGGACGCCACCAGCGCAGAGCGGCCGCTAGTCAACGGCGCAGGGTGAGTGGTCGGGCGAGAATCGCGCCGTGCCGCCGCCGGGGGTGGTGTTGGGGGTGCTGGTAGGGTACCGTGCTGCCCGTTCGCCTTTTATCTGCCCTCCCGCCTGACCTCCCCTGACTTCGTTTGCCCGCCTCAAAACCCAACCGCGTCCCCGATTTTTGCCTCCCCGCAGTGTTCCCCCCTCCGCTCGTCCCCACTCACGCGCGGCTCGCCCCGCCGGGGCGTCCGGAGCCGTCCGGCCCGTTGGGGCACTTTTCTGAAATGTGTGGCGTGGCTGTCCTGCAGGTCGCCAGCATGCGAGGTAGGGCCTTCCCCGCCCTACGACGGGGGCGATGCCGGATCGGACGCCCCCCCCCCCGCCCGGGGCCCCGCCGAGGGTCCCGATCCGTCGCGCTGCAGCCCGGAGAGGGCCCCCTTGCCCTCGGAAGCCCATGCTCGGTCCAAACAGGCGAAGAAGAGCAGGGCTCGTGACAGGTCACGGGATCGCGGCAGAGGAAGGGGGAGGGATGATGGCAGGCGGCGGCGCGACCACGGCCACGCCAGCCGCTCGTGGTCCGCCGGCCGGCGCAGAGGACGGTCGCGATCGAGGGACGGGGCCGATCGCGAGAAGAATCGACGGAAGAAATCGATGGAGAGGTCGCGCAGCAGGTCGCACGGCCGAGGCGAGCGGCGGGATCGACGTCTCGAGGCGGCGGAAAGACGGAAGGAGGGGGAGAGGAGGAGGGACGGGGACAGGCGGCGGTCGAGAAGGTCGACGAGCCGGAGCAGGAGCAGGAGCAAGGGTAGGAGGGAGAGGGAGAGGAGGGAGAGGAGGGGGAGGAGGAGAGGGGAGGGGGAGGAGGGGCGCGGCGGGCGGGGTGAGGGCAGGTCGAAGCGCAAGCGGTCGCGCAGCAAGGGGAGAAGGGGGTCCGACGCCGAGGAGGTGAGTCGTTGGCGATGATGGGGGGCAAGTGGTGGCGGGACGCGGCCCTTGGGTCTTCAGGGGTGGAGGGGGGGGGGGGGCGCAGCAGATTGTCCGGAATGCGACAGCCCGACGTGTCAAAGTCTGGGGGGGGGGGCGCAGCGCAAGGGGGGCTGCTGTGCTGGGAACCGTCGCACTTTTGACGACATTGTGTCGATCGTCCACACCAGGGAGTGTGGCATCCTTTCCATCTGCTGGCAAATATCCAGGCAGGCGCATAACGTAACGTCCAACGCATCGCACGAATGGCCAATTTGTGTTGTGCTCATAAGCAGAAGACCTTGCAAAGCACTGAACACAAAATCGCGAGGCTGCCATCCTGTGGGCACCTGGCAACGAGTCGCAACACAGAAACTGAAAAGAAAAGGAAGGCGGGTGGGGTGGGGTGGTGTGCAGTTGCCACTGTTTCCATGATGGATGCCTTTAGGGCAGGGGACCCTCATTGCTGTCGGTGGTGCTGCCAGTGTGAGCAGGGACGTTGGGGAAGAGTGGCGATGTGCAGCACTGTTTCCCGCACTCTGCAGAGGGTAGTGCTTGCTATGGGAGTTCTGTTTGAGGAGCAAAACAGCAAATCAAGTGCTGCACTGACCGGCTGAGCCTGTTTCTACCTGTTTGCATACTTTGCCAGGGTAGTTAGCAGACTTCTGTGGATTCCTCGATGCAGTCCCTGCATGGATGTGTCTGCCTTGTCAGGGAGCCCCTTGACTTGCGATCAAGCTGCACCACAGTTGATGATGTGCTGTGTGTTGCGTGACTGATGAAGATGCGCCTTTTCTAAGAGGTTGAAAAGGACAAGAAAGCTGCCCGTCGGTCGGGTTTGTTGCTGAGTGCAGCGCAGGCTGACAGGCCACCTGTTTTGGGAATGTACGACAAACATGTACTCTTGCTTTGTTTTCATTGCAAAGAATTTGGCTAAGGGTTTGTCCTGTGTCGTGTTCTGTCAGGAGGACGAGGATTACAAGGCAAGGGTGGTTGCTGCTTTGGAAAATGCAGAGGAGGATGAGGACAAGTTGATTGAAGAACGGCGCCGCAGGCGGCAGGAGATCCTCAACAAGCACAGGCAGGAAGGCGATGGGCAGGAGGATATCCGCCAGGAAGCAGCAGGTGAGGGCCTGTTGCCTTGTGTGCCCATTGGTGTGATTGCATGTTTCAAAGCGGCACACTGCGGCTCCTTCTATTGGCAATGTTGAAAGATTTGGCATTTTGGGGCATTGGACCTGGCGAAAGAAGTTGACACTGTTGCAGGAATGAGTTGATGTCGCTGGCAAAACAGAATACTAGCACTGAAACAGGCATTGGCAGTGAGTTGTGTGCTTGTACAGATATCTGTGTTCAAATTTTGTGCCGTCGTTTCGGCTTGGCTAGCGTGGATGGGCATCTTTGTGCCCATATGAAGCAGAGGGATAGCTCATTTCTTTGTTGGCTGCATGTTGGATAGCCATCCATCACACTCAAAAGCTGCCGCCAGTGTTCTTTGTTGCGGTGCGAACTTTGAATCAATGGCATCAATCCACAGCCACAAGCTTGAACATGCAAGGCCCACTGTCAACCAGTGACCATGTCTTGCAGCCACAACGGCTGCCTTATGAATTGAAAGACACAGCCATAAGTGTGATTTTAAAGAGATGCAGCATGTGCCTGTGGGCATGGGTTGACAGGCACTGCCCATCACTTCGCAGCTGGCTTTGTGCAATCCAATTCAAACTTTTGAGCTGGCTCTCCAGCATTTACAGGAACAACCACCATACGCAACAACCAACATACCAGGAACTCGCTGTTCCAATTTCTAAGTACAGATATCTGCCTGCCCACAGCTCATCTGACGCCTGACGTGGTCCAAAGGCTGGACACACCGCCAACAGGCCGCACATCCCCCGCAGCCTCCGACAGCATCGTCTCGGCCACCCCCCCTCCTGACCGGCACCTGCTGGTCCAAGAGCTGGGGGCTGCTGCTGCAGCGGGGGGCTCTGGCCCACACGAACAGAACAGCCCCCCGGAGGACCAGAGCTCAGGCGAAGCCGCTGACACGACCCAGATGCTCGAGGAGAAGGGCACCACATCCACAGGGCTCGATGCAGAGGACATCTTCTGCGACGCGCCTGTTGGCAAAGGGGATGGTGGTGCAGAGGGCAAAGCTGCTCGCAAGGCATCTGCTGGCAAGGGGCTGGCTGACGCATATGACGACCCTGACGGCTACTACAACTTCCAGTTCGGAGAGATCATTGGGCAGCGCTACGAGGTGTTTGCGAGCAAGGGGCGGGGGGTGTTCAGCACGGTTGTGCGCGCTTGGGACAGGTCAAGGAGGAACGGGGAGGGCAGGCACCGGGAGGTGGCGATCAAGATCCTTCGGTCCAATGATGTGATGAAGAAGAGCGGCCAGGCTGAGGAGCAGATCCTGAAGCTGCTGGCATCCACGGACCCTGATGACAGGCGGCACTGCATTCGGCTCCTGAGCTCCTTTGAGCACCGGGGCCACCTCTGTTTGGTGTTCGAAGTCATGGTGAGCGCGGTGCAAAGCTTTCCTCTGGGGTGTGCGTGAGCACAAATCCCCCTTGATTGGGTGTTGAAAGCGGAAAGTGCAGCTTGTGCGGCCATGAGGTGATGTCGTGCACCGGCCTGCATGACGACTGTCCAATACTGTGATTGCTCAAATGGTACATCAAATGGCAATCTGTATGAACATGTCTCTGTCACAACCTCCAAGTTCCAGCACCCATTGTGACCCTGCTTCCTGGCTTTGCCACAGGAAATGAACCTCCGCGAACTGACGGCGAAGTTTGGCCGCAATGTGGGCCTTAATATCAATGCTGTGGGCCACTACACAGCGCAGCTGCTGGATGCACTGCGGCACCTCAAGGCGAACGAGATACTGCATGCAGATATCAAGCCAGACAACATACTTGTCAACGACAAGTTCTCGAAAGTCAAAATCTGCGACTTTGGGAGCGCGATGGCCTCTGGGGATGCCGAGGTGACGCCCTACCTTGTGAGCCGCTTCTACAGGGCCCCCGAGATCATACTGGGCCTGCGATATGGTGAGCGCTGTTGGTTCAGTGGGTTTGTGGCGTGTGCTGGGGCCCCATCACCCATACTCTCCTTGACTGCCATTGGCTGTTTGATTGCAGCGGTTGGAGCTCAGGCGGTCTGATCAGAAATCCTGGCGTGTGCTGGTGGTGTCGTTTATTGGCAGCTTGGGAAATCAAGACCAGAATGTGCTATGCCACTGCCACGTGCCAGCACATCTCTAAATAGGTTCAGTTTGCAGACCCTGTGAAGAACTGAAGACAAGAAAGAACTTGAATGAGAAACTGGAAACCTGAACCCTGTATGGGCCCCAATGCTTGCCAGTTGAAAGGCACAAGAAGGGCACAAAATTAATACCTCTACTGCACTGGCAAAAGCCCGCGTAGGGCAACACAACACATCTTGTGCAACAGGGCTTGGTGTCTGTGTGGATCCTTTGATTGTCTTCAACAACTCAGAGCAGAACAAGTCTAGGCGGGTTTGGGTGATGGTGACAGACAGTCTGGTCTGGCGCTCCTTGATGCTTGTGCATACGATTTGGATGTCTGTGGATTGGAGTGTGGCAGCAGATCTTTCATTCTCAAGTTGGCTGTGCAGGTCAGAGAAAGGCATTGGTGCTGCTGCAGATGCGGCCCACGTCTGGATTGCCAGCATTGCCATAGCAGGGTAATGATCTAGGCGGCAAGTGCCACTTTTTCTTTGTCCATATGGGTGTTCTGCATTCATGTTTGCCTTTATTCCTATTTCTTCAACAACAACCTGGCAATCTCTGAAATCGAAACCTAAACCTGGCATTGCCTGTATTTCTGCAGTCTGTGTCATGTGCGATAGTGGCAAACCAGTGATCTGTGCACATCCTCGATATGCCCTCAGTTGCATCAAGGAAGAAAGAACAAGCGAGTGGTGACGTGCCACAAGTGCTCATGTGACCTTTCGATCTTCCCAAACCTGCAGTACAGGTTGGGCTCCCTGCCTGAGCAATGGATGTGCAATTCTTCCCCACACTTGCAAATCGCTGGAGGCGGGCCAAGAATTGCCCAGCCCTGACATACGCCACCCTGCATAGTTCGTCTGCTGTGTTTCGCACCGATGCTGAGCAATAGCTTTCTCTCCCTCCTGCCTAGTAGCTGCACAAGGAAGTCTCGACGCATTGGAAGGCTGGCCTGCTTGGTTCCAAGGTCCATGAGAAAGGTTGGAAGGGGTTGCCCTTGCAGGGAGCTTGCCTGTGGCGCAAGTGGCGGATGATTCCCCCGCCCTTGAGCTTGCAGAGAGAGTGTGCACTCAGAGTGGCACTGCACTGGTGTGTTGAATTGTCAGGCTTGACTGACACATGACCCGTGTGCCCTGAAAGATGCGGTGGCACCATAGCAAGGGAAGTGGTTTGCAACCCCTTGAAGATCTGCTGAATGCAGACACAGTATCCGTGGTGTCTGTGGAGCCCCCGTGAAGCCTCCTTTCGCCTTTGGCATATGGCCGTTGGTTGTTGGCTTCCGGTGTTGCCCAATTGGTGCAGAGTCCCTCCTTGTCCTTCTGGGCACGACCCAGTCATTTGCAGACTTAGATCTATTTTCTGCACCCACAGGCACTGCTATTGCGTGCTGCCTTAGTTTTCTCATCTAAGGTTTGCTTGTCGATGTTACTCATAAATTGTTACTCCATGCATTGTTATATGCGCCTGCACCCTTGAGGGTTGCCAGGGCAGTGTTGGGGATATGACCAACATTTGATACACGCATGTGCATCATCACACCTCAGCAGACCCATTCCTGAAGCATGTGTTTGTGTGTGCCATCGCCTAAATGGTGTGCATGTGGCGTTCACTGCAGATTACCCGATGGACTTGTGGTCAGTTGGCTGTGTCGTGTACGAGCTGTTCACTGGCAAGATCTTGTTCCCTGGGAAGTCGAACAACGAGATGCTGAAGCTGATGATGGACGTGAAAGGACCCTTCCCAAAGAAGAAGTTGAAGAAGGGGAGATTCCATGAGGAGCACTTTGAGAGCGACCCCAACATGTCCTTCATTCAGGTCGATACTGACCCAGTGACCAAGAAGCCGGTGAGTGTCCCATCTGGCCTGTTCAGTACTTGGGGTGTTGTTTCCATGCTTGACTATGCATTGCTGTTCCCTCTCAAGTTTCCTGTGTTTCCTGTGTGGATGTTGTGACAGAATGGATTCTTGAGTGATGCCTCTGCTGTCAGGGACATGGACGGAGCGTGCATAGTTGAGCTGGTCAGTCGAGTCTGACGTTGTGCCACATTCAGCACTGCGGGGGGCTGATCATCGTGGCCCGTTGCCCTTTAGGACTACCAGAATTATTGCCTGGGTGCCTCATGTGTTTCAAGGGAAAGTTGCAGGTCTCAGCTGTCTTGGGCCGTATGGAAAGAATCGGCAAAGAGGTTGTTGGGTTGTGGGCATCGAGAGGAAACTTGTGGAAGTTGGAACGTGTGTGGGTGCGTGTGTGTGTGTGTGGGTGGGTGGGGGTGGGGGGGGGGAAGAGGAGCGCCACTGATCTGAGTGCTGTGTTTGACATGCCACAACTGTCAAGGGCTTAAATGGTTAATGCAATTTTGGCAACCTGCACTTGCCCAGTTTAATGCTATTGTACATGTTCTGTGACAAATGATCTTTATGGACAAGCTCCAGGAATCTTTCAAACTGCCTGCTTGGCAGCAAAGTCAGTGTGTGCTGCATTGGCTGTTCATTAGGAGTTGCCTCATGAGTCTTTAAACAGCTGGGAATGAATGTGTTGTATTGGGGCTGGGTCGCTTGCTGCTGCTGACTGCTGTCCTGTGGCCCTGGGTGCTACAGATCAAGCGTCTCATCGTCAACCCCACTGTGAAGAAGGATTTCAAGGCACTGCTGCTTCAGAATGCTGGGGACTCGGACCGTGAGCTGGTGCTGCTGCTGGCCGACCTTCTGGACAAGATGATGGCCCTGGACCCGGAGCAGCGGATCGACCTTGAAAAAGCCCGCAGGCACCCCTTCCTAAAGAAGATCCTCCAAAAGGCGGTCAAGGGCACGACCAACTAGGGGGCAAGCTTCAAGCAGCCAGCAATGACATGCTGCCGAATGTGTGAGGGAGGTGCCAAGGAGTGACTCTTGAAGGTGGTGCACTGGGAGATACACTCTGCACTGTGCATTGAGCTGGTTCTGTGCTGGCTGAATTGGGGTATTTCAAGTGAGGACAAAGTGTTTATCTTGGCGCTGTTCTTCCAGGTAGTGCTTGTGTGTGTGCGACATGGCCGGGTTGCTTCCCGGACCGTGGCTGGCGGTTGGAAACGAGCCAAGAGGGGGCGGACAACAGCAAATGAGCACGTCTCTTCGGCTGCAGATTAGTAAGAGGTGCTGTGTGTGTTGACGTGGGAAACGGATGTCAAGTAGATAGAAGTTTTTTAGTTAGTCACAAAGTGCAGGGCTTGTGTGAAGCGCAACCAGACGACCTGGAGCCCATTGTTCTGGGGCTCAAGAGGGCGGAATTCTGCCGTCTTGGCTGCCAAAATGGCATGAACACATCATGTGCTTCAGCATCCATTGAACAGGACTCAACTATAAGGGGCACCAAGGGGCCAATGTGTAGCCCTGCCGCTCTGTTGTTTGGGGTTTTCAATTTGTTAACTATGTTCTGGATATATCTGAACGTTGGCTTGCCACTGTCTCCCCTGGATCTCACAGAAAACTTTGCATGGGCAGCTTGACACCGCAGCGGTACAGTGGTGCTGCAGCAGTGCTGCCTTCACTGCGCTTGGCTTGTGCGTTTCATCCACGCTTGCTGTTGACATTATCTTGGTGATCTGGTCGTGGCTGACCTTGGGCTGTGTGCTCAAACTTGCACCCTGTAGAGGCGGGGGCCAGCGGTGGGGGCCGCTGTGGCATTGCGGCTATGGTTGAAGGTTCAACACTTCACTCTTGACTCGGTGCAAGGCATGCAGCACAGCCAAGGTCTGCGCCCGAGGTAACAGGAACTAGTGTTGCGTGTCTGTCTTGCTATCCTTTCCACAATTTGTTTCCTTTTATGGTTTATGTGCGCTGCATTCCATACTCAGGGTCTCTTTGAAAGAGCCATTCACAATGGCTGTGTGCTCATGGTTAGAGTACACCTTTTTACCTTTCAGATCTGACCATGATGTGGGTGGGTGAATGGGAGAGGCCTGTCATGCCTGGTGCACATTTTGCAGCAGGTCTGCTTGTCTTACCTGGGGTCTGGAATGTGATGGCCACTGCTTGCTCAACCTGTGTGGTGAGTAGCGTGAGTGGGCAGTTGATGTTGCTCCTTTGAAAATGTGAACACATGCGTAGATTGGTCGATGCATGCTGTCGATGGGCCTCCTCAGGAATCCACTGACCCTGCATAGTGCATTGGTGCATATTCCCTCTGGGCTCTTGGGCAGTAGCTGTCAGCTTCGATGCAAAGTCGTCCATGCGGATGAACGAAGAACAGTGTTGCACAAGTGCAGGCTCCCTTTGAGTCATTACAGACAGCAGCATCACTACAGCATCCTACCAGCAACAAAGCGACTAGTAAACAACAGTATGCTAATATCAGTGCTGTGCAGGTCTGCATTCAGACCTCAGAAATGCAGCAGTGCAGTGCCCAATAGGTTTATATTTTGGACACATTTAATATTATTGCAGTGTGCCAATTCTTGTGCTGAGTAACACTGCTTTCAGACTTTGAACAATGTGCTGCAGCGAAATTGGTAGAATTTGACACACTGTTTATTCAAAGAGATTCTGTGGATGACGTCCAGAGGACCGGAAATAAGTCCATCAACGGGAACAGGGCAGCACACTTTGTAATTCTGTTCCGCATTGGGCCCTGCCATTCTTGGTATCCACTATCCACAGTTGGCCCATTGCTGCAACCCCCATGCAAGCAGCATTCCTAGGACGCTCATAGGGCGGGGAGCGCCTGTGACAGTTTGGCTGCAAATGGCAAACATAAGCAATTTGGGAGTACATCTAAGTGTGGATAGTGTCTTTGCCAAGTCAGCAGGTCCTGGAGTGTGAACGGCCCCAATGTGCACGCAAGCTTTCCCCTCGGCCCCACCTGAGCCAGGTCAATGATGTAAGAAACTACATGATTGATGTGGACGGAGTTGCCAGCCGTTGATGTGCAGCTGCCCTTGGGCATCCCCTGTCATCATGCAAGTATTGGCAAAGCAGATATCATCCAGCTGCCGGTCTTCCGCTAACCCTGATATGCAACCTGCGCTACTGCCATGCGCTCTTCCATTGCGTAGCAACTTTCGGTGTAGAAGTTGGTGACTGTTGGCTTGCTTCTGACAGCCAATCAATCTGCCCACAAGCTTGGTTTGGTGTTTGGCTTTTGGATCTCCTCCCCACAAACCCCTGGTTTCTCCTTCGCAGTTGTGGCAACAGACCTGCTGGCACGACAGGGAAGGCAAGCTATTGACCATTTCCTGTGCCATCGCATCGTTGCACCGCGCTTGACCACTCGTGAGCAAGAGATAAGGGTATCTTGATGTCTGTGTCCCGTGCTCCCTCGCTATGCCCTTACTCGAAAGTGGACTGCCGCTGCTGAAACATGCGTCCTGGAAGGAAACTTGTCTGGTGGTGGGCAACCCCCCCGGGCAAAACTTGTTTATGAGCCTCTCTTGCCTGCGTTGGACCTTGATGCAAAGATGTCCCAAGCGTGCAACGGAAAATGTAAGGCACAGAGCAGCACATGTAACAACGAGATCAGTGTTGCCTCATGCTTTTTGGTCGCCTCTGTTTCGGGACCATGTTCCTTCACCATTACCTGCTGTATGCTTTTGTTTGGTATTGACATGCTGGCGCAGTGCCCGTTGCTCGATCCTCCAACCATGCACGAAGGAGTGTGGAAACAGGGAATCAGATTGCGATGGTTTGGCGGTGTGTTGCTGTGACAACGTTGGAGTTTTGCTGCCATCAAGCACCCGCTGCGAGTCATTGTTGTTGGAGTGCTCAATTCCAAGGTGCGAACGAACTGTAGGGCGAATGTGCTGCTGCGCGCGGTGCTACCGTACTGCGCTGGTGGCACCCTCCATTGAAAGGTTGTATGGGGAGAGGTATGTTGATCTGAAGAAGCGTGGTGATTTTCCAAACGACTCGTGCGTGACTGGCCTTGGCAGGATCTGCTTGGAATGGGAAACGCAAGTGCAGCTTTGCACAAGGCAATAGAGCGCATGGATTGCTTTCTCTGTGTGGTGTGTCTCAAAGTTCTGCAACAACCTGGAATCGGAGAAAAGCACCCTCTTTCGCAGGAAAGGGCGATGCCAATGGACATCGGTGGACAGGGTGGGCTGGGCCTGTTTCTCGCCTGTGCCATTAAATTGCCACTGGTCTGTTGTGCTGGCTGGGCGCATTGTCTTTGATATGATTCTGCGAAGTACTCGTCACAGAGAAACGGTGGATGCCGTGGAATATGCATTGGCATGAAGTGGGCAGGAGCATGGAACAGGCAGGAGCGTGATGGAGGTCGAGGATGTAAGCTTTTGGTGTCCCATGTTGGGCGCGTGACACAGTGTTGGCGTCGCTCTGCAGTGGGAGGGCGGCAGAAAGCACGCAACGTTCGTGGCGCTGTCTGGAGAACGGAATCATGGGGCACATACGGCGGCGATGGGTGATTGGACATTCTAGACTGTGACGGTCGTTGCGCCCAGGGTAGCTTTTCCATTGGGTGGGGCAAAGTGTTGTTAACGGTCCACACCCAAGGTAGGTAGGTACCTTGATGCAGGGAGTGCGCCAGGCGCGAGTCGCACTGCTGCAGTTGCAGCAGCGCCATTTGATGTGTCGTTGTGGTGCCGTTAGGTCTATGTGTTGTCCCCAAAAACTGGAGGTGCAGAAAGCGCGGGGGTCTCCTAACTCCACGTCTGTTTGACACTGCAGGTGTTTTCTGCAATGCTCGATGTGGTCTCTCAGTCGTTCGTCACGCGTTTGCACTATGTGGGTGAAGCTGAAATTGTACAGGACGGTGGTCAATGGACTCCAAGGAAAAGAGCGCAATGCATTGCTCCAGTGGCCTCAAGCACCCAAAACCGCAATCCACTTGTTTGTTTATTTACATATGTGCAAAACGCGCTGCGGGCACTGATGCACTCCGAGCCCTCAACGGACAGAGTGGTTCTCGGAAGCTCCTCAATGGGATGCTGCGGGATCGCCTGTGGCCTCGGGGCTGCTGACGGATATCAGTCCGCGATGGGAGGCGGCGACTCCAGCAGCTCCATCGGTGTCCAGCAGCTGTGGCGCAACTGTACATGGCTTGCATGCTTAGGGGATGCGCATCGACCCTGGGTGCCATCTTCCTCGTGCTAACCTAGTGTGTGTCCCGATGTTTCTTGTTCCTCTCGAAAAATGCGAATCTTCGCGCTGGAAATAACGAATGGAGGGGGGGGGGGGGTCAGTGCCGAAGCCACCATTCAAGCACGAAACGCAATGCAACGCAATGTACAAGGAAATGGCACAAGCACAAATCAAGCGAAGGAAGGGTGAACTGCTGAAGAGGTCTATAGATGTGCGTGCCCGAGTGCACACAACAGTCCGCACAAGTATGGGGTCCAGGTCAGCAAGACAAGGGGTGATGTTTGCGTGTGAATCAACGCCAGACCCGTGGACAGCCAATTGGAAAGCCAGGAAGTTGGCTATGTTCTTGAATTGTGGGGTCCGGGATAGGGCAGGAGTCCATCACCACGTCCCGCAGCATCCCCCCCAATACGCCTCAAGTAGTTCTCAAAGAGGAATGGCGCAACAGACTGTTCAACGGTCCGGTCACTGGCGCCAAACAGGGTTCGGGCCTTGCAGACGGCGACTCCTTCCCAAAGGCGCTCTGCATGGAATCTGATTGCACCCCCTGGCTGCAGGAATCGAACGGATTCTCGATGCCCTGGGTGCTTCGCCATCCGCCGAACCCAACAACACATTCAGCCACCAGGCGACCGTATCCTGCAACCGCACTCCCCCCTCCCCCCAATGTTCCTGATACGCTTTCAAGTTTTTCAGGGTTTTAGTATTCTTAGGGATGGGGGGGTTACGCTATCAAAAAAATTGGGGGGGGGGGGTAGGTTTTGTTAATGTTTTTTTTGGGGGGTTTCTTTTGGGGGGGGGTCTTTTGAGGTGCTGGTCTCCGCGCCCATCTGGCGTCTGCGCATAAGGAACGCCCTCGCCTCCCCTTTAAAACTTCGAATGCACTGAATCCGTCCACAAGCGCGGAGTCCCCAGATGAGGCTCTTGGGAGGTCTGGTGCTGGGCTTGCGTGGAGTTGAGAGGGTAATGGCGCCCTGAGGCCCTTGGGGCCCGAGAGCTTCGCGTTCCCGCACCTAAAAATCTTCTCCCCCCAGTCGCAGTCCCACCCTTCGCCCTCCTCGGCCTCGTGTCACCTCCCGGCAACCTCGGTGGGGTCCGCCGCCGCGGCGACGGCCTCCCGCATCCCCGCCGCCAGCTTCAGGCCGATCCACCCATTGATCATCATCGCCACCGCCGCCAGGGTGGACACGGCCAGCGGCAGCCGCGCCTTGACGCAGTAGAAGGAGCCACCCCTGGCGCCGCCAGCCGAGGGATCGCCCAGGGCGCATGCACTCGCATCGACATCGCCGGAGATCCACAGAGCGCCGTCCAGGAGGGCCAGAAGGGCGCTGAGGAGCTGCAGCCGGTACGCCACGCGCGCCAGGGCGCTAACGGTCTGTGCGGTGGCGGCCATCTTGGCTTGGGGCCTGGAGGAAGGCAGCGGGCCAGTTCAGAAGGACGCTATGAGCGTTTGAAAATGCCGTCGACGAGGCAATGCGGTGCCCTTGCACCTTTTGGGCGATGACGGGCGTGTATGCAACGTTATGGTGTCCTGGGGTCCGTTCTGTTCGGACGCTCGCTTGAAATCACGAATCTGACTCTCATGCGTTTAAGTGTTTCCCGTGGAGCATGCAGCTACGCTGCCTGTTTACAATCCCTGTCCTTTCATACTGCGAACATTTGCGCCTTTTGTGCCGAATGGGCTGAGGCAGAAGGGGCAGAATAGGCCACACCCCAGCACCACCGAAACACTAGTTCTGTTGATGACAGCCAAGTACCGTTCGAAGCGGGCACCTGCACATCATCTATGCAGAAGTAAAGCTGGTAGAGAGCCTCCGCGAGAAGGCGCTGTCCATTGCATGCGGTGCATTCAAGCATGCCCATTTATGCCAGCATGCATTTGTGCCTGTAGGCTGCCTATTCTTCCTTGTTTTGCCAACTGCCACCAGCCACAGAAAAGGCAGAATGCTACCTGAGGATCACCTGCAACCCTTTGCTTTTGTTGCCACACCTGTATACTTATGTACCTGCACAAATATACGCATGCGGCGATGAAGGCGATGCCACTGCCAGTGAGGCCGAACACCCCCAGATAGTTCCATCCGCCATTGAAGACAGTGACCATGGCTGTGGCGATGGCCAGGCCGCCGCCGACGCACGACACCAGCAGCCAACAGATCGCCCACGGCCGCAGGTCCTGCCACCAGCTCAGGTTTGGAAGGTCAAGCTGAGGGCACAGACACGAAAGGCAGTCAGAAAGGTTTCTGCTGCCTGCTCCAATTCTCTTTCTCCAAGTTTGCTGTTCCTAGTTGTCTGGTGACAAGTCTTCACCAATTGTCGTTGATAAACCTGCCCTGCATGTGGACCTATGACTGTGAGAGAGTGAACTAGCTCAAGCCAGATGCTGATGCAGTGGTCACCACGCATTGTCATGATATTCCCTGTGTTCATGGCACTTGCAAAGGCACAACTCATTTATGACAGAGAACCCATCCTACCAGAAGAGATGTGGGAATTTGGCCATCATGCAAAAGTCAATGCAGCCAGTGGACAGCACGCGGCCTTTCAGGGGTGGGTCGCGGTCACCGCACCTGCACCACGTGCCATCCTGGCACCCACTCCAGCTCTCCCCACACCTCCTGCTGGACACCGTCGTCTGAATCTGAGTCCTGAATAGGGTGCGATGTGATCAGGACGCCCTCACCAAAGGGAGACGTTGACCTGGGATAGGTGCTGCTGGCATCCTCAGGGGCAGGGCAAGCACTGCCTGGGCAAATCGGGCACAGAGGGCGGCATGGCTGTCAGATCCACAACTGCTTGGTGAAAAATCGGCAGACACCTGCCTTTGCATATTCCAGACAATGGCGGGCATGACTGCATGAACGAGCTTTGGCCAGTTGCCTGGACATGGTTGCCAGGAGAGATGCATGGAATGCTTGATGCAAACACTGACATGACATGGAACCAATGAACCGCAAATAATCACCGCCTACACCACAGTGGGAACCATGTAGACTTAGGCTTAACATGGCGATTCAGTTTCTTATTGGGTGGCACAAGGGCCACATCTCTTCTGTTATACCTGTGGTGGGATGTGGACTCTAAATGCAAACTACTATTTTGGGATCAAAACGAGCGCTGTGTATGTATGGTGTGTTGCATGTTAACAAACACGAGATGATTAGGCAGTACGTTTGCCGCCTTGACAATTGTGATCAGCACAGGCAGGCTGTATGACATTCTGTTCTGCACACTGCACACTGCACACTGCACAGCTATGTTACAGATGGCCACAGGATGGGCCAAAATATAGTGGAAATATAGTGAAAATAATTTGCGAAATCATTCCCTGATGACAATCTAAATGTTGGTTGGTACAATGTTTGCAGGAGCCTACATGCCTGATGTTTCTATCCAATTCTAAATTTGGAAGCACAAGACCTATAATACTGTGGAATTCGTTTCCAATCCCATTTTCAGGTGCCTGTCAAGGCACAGGGGCTGGTGCCAGGAATGGCAAGAAAGATGAAGGCAACCAGTTGTAATGCCAGGATTGTTCCCACAGCGAGCCAGGTGATGGTCTTGTGTGAGAATTGTGTTCTGCAGGCACAGAGGCTGTGTTCTGCATCGCTTTCCTATGGATGTGATCAAGCAACATACTCACAGAGCCATTGTGATGGCTGTGGTGGTGGTGACTGTGTTGGAGGTGTTGACTGTTGTGAAAATAGGCAGCATGGGTGTCTCCTGTCATCGCCTGCAAAGTGTAGTGGATTTGTTAGCCAGGACTCTTTTCACAACTGGCATCCATGGCATTTCTCCACTGCAGCCTGGCTTGGGTTGGGCAGAGGTTTGGCCACGATTGGACCATGGCATGCACCACATGTTTGCAGCGCTTTTCTGGAGTTTGGGAACAGTCCCCCGGATTTTCGAACCCCAAGCATCGGCAAAGCAAGCCACGCTGCAAGCTCTGGTTAAGCCTTGCCGCCATTCGCAGAATCTACCGGCTGGGGGTGAGACGTGGCACGCAGTGGCCGGGCAGCCCAAACAAGGGAGAACGTTCTGGGCAGGGACGTTGCCCAGCCTCGGGGGGCTCAACGCGCCCCCTCATCCTTTCTGAGCACGTCCGCACGATTGCCCCCACTTGTCGCTCGGGGATTGGCCACCCTGATGGGAGCTTCGCCCACCGAGCTGTGAGCAACAATCTGAGCATTGGATGCCACGCCCTCTCGAGTTGAGCCGGCGACCCGCGTCCGCAAAACAGGCCAAACAGCATTAGTTTTGCGACCGCTGTGCAGCCGGCCAAAACGCAAGGCGCGGGGTGGCGTTCCCGCCAAAATTTTATCGCATCCAAGCGGGACCCGCGTGGAAGGAACGCGACGGCCAGGAGGCCCCGATTGTGACTGGGGGGGCCCGCGGGAAGCGCTCGCTCTCAAGACGTCTTTGCGGATCTTTCTGGTGTAAATGCCCAAAGTCGCCAGCGCATAAGGACGTCGATCGGCATGGAGCCCCCTCCTCTTTCGGCCGCCCGCCTTTGCGACCCGAGGGCCGGCCGCGGCAGCCCGCGACGATGCCAACGGCACAAAAAGAAAACCGAAAAACAGAAAAGCAAAACAGAAAAATGCCGCCGGCCAGAGACCTGCGCGGGGCGCAAATCGCCTCCCGGGGCGCTCCAATCCCGCAGGCCAAGGATTGGCAGCCTGCTGCTGATCGCCCACCGCACACAACGGGCGCATTGCGCTTGCAAGGGAACTCTCGCGCAGGAGGTTCGCGCAGGAGTCGGAGGTCGCTCGCATCGCAGAGCTGCCGCACCCGCGGCACCCAGGACCGTCGGGGTCCCACCCCCGTCGCCGGCGATTGAATCCCAACCCGTCCGCGAGAGCACCCCGGATGCGCGCCATCCCCGGCGAGATTCAAGCCGATGTTCCCACAGTCGCCCAAGTTCGCATCCCCTCGCGGCGAGCAGCCAAAGATTGAACCTCGCGAATCCCGTTCCAGCACAGTCAGGGCCAGCGGCGCGGATGTCGCGTGGTGAACGCAGCGCGGCCGAACAAGGATGAGAACTAGAAATCTGAGCAGCCCTTCTGGGCGGATCTCCGGACGGGGGAAAGGCGCGCCTGCCCGCGGTGCCCGCCGATTCCCCGCGTACCTCGATCGCGCAGCAGCGGCGTCAGGGCGGTGGCATCGATGCTCGTCTCGGCGCCCGTGGAGGGTGTGGAGGGAGGGCCGTCGGGGGCCATGGCCGCGCGATGGCGCTGGGGGGCCGCGAGTTGGCTTTGGGATTTTCTGGCGGAGTGGGGGGAGGCGGGGGGAAGGCTCTGGGGAGCTTGCGGGGAGCTGGGGGAAGGTGAGGGGGAAAGTCACGTTACTACTTGGGGGGTATCGTAGAGCGCGGAGCGGTCTGGCATTGTGAAACGGTACGGCAGGAAGGGGGGCACGGAAATAACACAGCCCCGTAAACTTTGCACACGTTCGAACACGCGTTATTTGGCCCTTTTGTCTTAGTGTCAAGAACTTCGATCGTATCTTGCTCCGGGGACATTCCCGCAAAGATAGTAGTCGCCACTTTCGCTGACCGTAATCAAGCCGTTGCTAAGCGCCGTTTTGCTGGCACCATTCATGTCCAAATCCCCCCACCAACGGGTTTTTCTTCCATTCTTTGTGCGTGAAGTGCTGATCGGAGGGCTACCCTCACCCAAGGGCTAAGGCAAACCATGGAATTCGTGAATGGAGGCTAGGGAACGATTGACGGAGGGCTTGACTTCGAAAGGTGCTATTGGGCCGAGCAACGAGCGCAGATTTGAAGCCCCGATCTCACAAAGGAAAGGCGCATGAGGAATAATGCTGCATAGTTCATTGCTAAGTTCCACTCCGTTTAAAAGTCATAAATTGAATGAGCCGACAGACAACCGTCACCACCACATTTTACCTATGAAAACCACTGTATATGATCTGTTAAATTAAATCCCAAGATATTGATGCAATCCAGACAAGTGCTAAGTCATTGTACACCAGAAGCCGCAAATTCTTCACCCCAAGTTCATCTTTGACTTGGCTTTCAATTGAGGAAAGTTATAGGCAACATAGCAATTGGGGTGGCCATCACGGTGAGGGTCCGCCTGCGGTTGTCTATGGCCCACGGACGACGATATCCGAACATGGTTACGTGGCCAATCGATACAGTCGCAGCAGAGCGTCCTGCGCCTGCGGTTTGCATCCGCCCGCATGCCTGCTCCTGTACCTTGAGCGTGCTTTGGGGTGGCCAATGTGCATCGCGTTGCCCTTATCAGCCTATTTAGAAATTGCGGTGGTGCGTGCGGGTCAAGATGTAATAAAATCCCCGAAGCACAGGTCACACAATGGAGCCACACTTCCTAAGCAAGTATAAAGCGGGCCATGTTACGCTTTGTGACGCCATAGGCACCACCTTAAGCAAGAATGAAATCGAAAGCGCGTGTGTGGGTAGACAGTTGCAGTGCCTCTGCAAAGATGCTGGAGCGCTGCAGAGACTCAGGGAAGCTGCTCCGTAGCTTTGCCCCCGAGTTGGCGTCGTGCCATAACGAAATGGCATCACCTTTCTCAGTTGGCATAGTCTGCTGCTGGACCTGCAGTTGGGAGCGCGTTGGTGAGCCGGCCGACTCTGCGGGGGAGGGTTGCCATGGGTGGGGTGGATCCCGGAGCCACCGGATTGCGGTGACCACACATATCCCATGGACTAATGGTGCGGCCACTCGCTGGTTTGTTGGGTAATGGCGATTAGTCTCCACATGCAGTGAGACTGTGGCCGTGTTTGTCGTGTAGCATGCAACGCCACCCCCCATCGATGCAGTTTTCGAAGTGTTTAGGGCTTCATTTGCTTGAATACACTTCCTCTTCGCTATCAGAAAACACCTTCTTTGCGCTGCCAACTGCGTTGTCATTTTGACTGTCAAAATTTGACACAAAGTGGCGCCATCACAGTCACTGCGACGGTAACAAAGTGGGTGCGATGCCATCAATTACTGTCAAATGGTATCGCAGTTGGCATCGCAAGAGTATCGGTTTCTACTGGTGCTTCCCATATTAAGTGTCCTCTGAATTATGGGCCTTACTGCTGCATCACAAAGAACTTCGGTTTTCGCTAGTATTTAGTCCAAAGTTCTGCCCATGAGTTTGTATTATTTGGCCAAAAGGGAATACGATCTGCTATGTATTGTGGAATTGGAAGTGCTTTGTAGCAATGGCTCTTTACTTAGTAAATATCAAATTTTTCGAAAGGAATTCAGAAAGGAATAAAATATGTGTTTTACCCAGTGCTCAACAAGTCGGGGCTGACTGTTTTCCTGAAAATTGTTAATTATATTTCTGGGACCCAATCTTTTCGATTCTTACATTCGTTTACAATACAGAGGCCATTATTTTACGAAAAATATCTTCTAAATAGATTATAAACAATATGGGACAGATGAAGTGGTATTAAGTACCATATTGAAAACCTTACAAATTTGGAAGCATGAAAGAATGTTGATAGGGGCAGGCTTGTTATTTACGTTCACGTTTACGCTTTTACGTTTACGTTTTCACTCGTAAAAACGCAAATTTGCAAAAAGGGCTACTCTTGAGGCTGTATTCACGTTTTTACGGCTCGTTGCGGCACATAGGTAACGCGATAAAAACCGCGGACAATGATTAGTCCTCCAGCTACTACAGCACCCGCAACACAGCGTCGATTTTGCATTCGGTAAGGGCCACGAAAGCGTGGAACAAAAGTTCGTTTCTGCCCATTACAGCGCGTCTGGCTGTTACTCCTCGGACACCCGAAGGCTGCATGTACTGTATTTATGTGCAAGGGGCTGTATTTACGTATTTTTACCCGTTTTAAGCCTTAAAAACGTAAACATTATTTGTACGCATAAAGACGTAAATAAGATCTGTGTTTACGGCATAAATAACGAGACTGGGTAAGGGCAGAAACTGAACCCTTTCCCAGTATTTTGAGATTCAGAATCGCAAAGAGACATAAACAACCAATTTTTATGTCTATTTAGGGCATTTTTGGGCATTTTTCAATGTACGAATTTTAAGTACGTATTTTCAGTTTGAACTAGAAGGGATGAACGACAGTGTATTTCTCGCAGTTGCAAATTCTGATGCAAGTCGCTAAAAGGTCATCAAATCACCAAGGAGAATACGAGACGTGAAGTAATTCTATTCCCGCCTTCCATAGTTCTATTCTGCAATAATTCCTTCTTAAATATTTGAAGATTTACTGTGGCAGCGGCGAAAGAAGCATTGGTGTCAACCACCGCAACTATTTTGTCAGTTCGGTTGGCTACACATTCGGTACTCGGTACCTCACCCCAAGATACTGACTGGATCAGCTCACCGAGCTGTGAACTTGACGTGCTTGCGTTATTGGCTTGGACATTTCAGGGCCTTGCCTGAAATCATTGCGATTCATGAATTGCGATCACAAGCCACATGGCTTGATTTGCATTATATCAGCCCTTACAGTGCAACAATTTCCGACTCTTTCAAGCCTCCAATGACGAATTATCCCGTGGCAGCCACCAGCCTGAATCAAACCAGTTCAAACCCAGATAATAAATGTCACGTTTCACCTCTGCCAACTTTGCGCCTGTAACCAACGTCTTTAGCTCAGCGCTTTTGCGCAACATTGTCCCTCAAGCTTCTGGAGAACCGGCTAATGCGACAGCCTTCACTCAGTGCAAATTTGGTGAGCCGCTGTTCTTTTGATTCCCTTACAACAATGCACAAAGCTCCCAATAGGATCGACAAGCACAAGATCAAGTGTTGTGACGATTTTCCACGCATTTTACACGCGCGCCAAAAGCTCGAGCACAAAAACAGTAGGCGCCACGGCAGGTAGGCTACCCACGCAAACAGTAGCGGAAAGCTTCAGCACGAAACATGAAGGCACTCACTTCCTTGTTTCTGAAGATCGAAATTGCACCGTGAAAAATATTTACCTAAAATTTATTCTTGTATTCATCATGTGTTAATCTAATCCGAGGGAGATTTCACAAGATAAATTCAGCTTTTATGGGTTTTCAAACGGCATTAATTATTTTATGCAAAATGCGAAGAAGTCCTCTCCAATATGTTCTGCAGTTACAATACACATCTTGACCTCTTTTGTGCTTATGGATTCCTGAACATGGACACAGCCTTTCATTACTAGTGAATAGCATAGTCGACAGACTTAATTGTTACTTGTTATCTGGTTTGCCTTGATTGCCATACTACAATGCATAGTTTTTGAAGAGCATCCAACATATCTTCGACTTCGTGTGATTGTATCGGTTAGACCTACAAGGGGTGGATCTTTCTTCCCTGACAAGCATCTGTGGTTCATGCAGTGGAGAAGCCATGCAGCTAATCCTGTCGTTAGTCAGGTCCATCTTCGGGAATTGCAATGATAGTGGCGATATGTCTTATTGTTGAACAATTATTTCTTTTGTGGATTTGTATCAACCTAGTGTTTATAGCTCTTGTCGTTACCACTAAGGGGCCTGCGTGCCCCAATATTCAATATGCGCAGGTCATCGGTTCAATATTTTTATTTCAACTTGTCACTGAACATTTGATTCCTCTGTTCAAGCGTTTAGTAATCTGAACAAGGTAATTTACCCTGTTGGAGGGTTGATGAATGCAAATAACGTGCTTTTCAAGCATAATTTGAGAGGATTGTGGAAAATGCAGATGCACAAAATCGGCTCTCGCCGAGGGAATAGCTGAATACCGGGAATTGCCCATAAGTAAACATTGCAAATTGTAACAGGCATGAATTGTGCGTTCACATCTTATGGCCAGGAATCTGATCGCTTGGTAGGTGTCTGCAAAGAGAGCATCATAATTCAGCCTACTGATTGGCAGTTTGCAAAATTTCAGTATGCGAGTCTACCTATTTCGATATCACTGAGAAAGGTATACATGGAACGTACCAGTGTATAAGCTACATAGTCTATCCATCTTCCAAGGCAAAATGGCATTAAAAACACAGTTTGTGTTAATATTCCTGTTTCTCTTTAAAGATATTCACATATGGAGACGATCGACGTCGATTTGAATCGGAAAATTTAAGTTTTGATTTACAATATATAAAATGGCAACCATCCGCCATAGTGCCACCTACAATAGCGTCTTGTCGTCACCAAAAATCGGTTGCCGCAATACCACCGCACTATTGTTGCGATTAAGATTATGAGATTCTTGGACGGATGCTTATATCGGGAAGTGG